GTCAAAAGATCACAAATCGTATCTAGTCGAAGACATTACCCTTAAAAATTGAAAAAAATTCCCTCGTTCCCCATAAATGGGGGAAACCTCCAAAAAAATTACAAATTTAAAAATCGCTAATTTTCGAAATTTTTTCAATTTTTTTTACTTAAAAGTGCCATAACTTTTTCAAAAATGAACATATCAATATAATTCTTTTTTATATAGATGCATAATATCATTACCTTTCATTTGGTATATTTTTTTCATAAATTTAACCCTTAACCTGCCCACAAGGGGGGATTTAAAATGACAACTTTTTCACAAAAAATTAATTTTTTTAACTTAAATTTTGAAAATGTTCCGGAAGGTCTGACACTTTTATATATATCTTAAATTAAAGCTAATGTAATATGCTTTATCATGAAAAAAAAAAATTTCGGACTTTATCTTATCTTCATGGTGAAAATGGCTACCGAATGCTATTTTTGTGTGAAAATTTTCGATTTTGTATTTTCCATTTTTAACTTTATTATGCTATAACTTTTTGAAAAATGAATGAATCATTACAAATTTTTTATAAGAAGTAGTATTTATATAGATCTTTCATTCGACATACTGTTTTTTTAAATCGGACCATTTCCCTAAATACAGGGGGGATTCAAAACATAAAAATGCATATAGAAAGTAGAACTTTTTCAACGTAACTTTTGAAAGTGTTCCGGAAGGTCTGACACTTTTATATATATCTTAAATTAAAGCTAATGTAATATACTTTATAATGGTAAAAAAAAATTTCGGACTTTATTTTATCTTCATGGTGAAAACAGACATTAAACTTAATAAAAAAAATACGATTTTTGTAAAAAAATTCTTTTTTATATTTTTAACTTTATAATGCTATAACTTCTCGAAAGATGTATGGATCAATATAATTCTTTTTTTTGTAGATGCATGATGTCTTTACCTATCATTTGGTATATTTTTTTTATAAATCTGACTTTTTACCTGCCTACAGGGGGGGATTCAAAATAACAACTTTTTCACAAAAAATTGACTTTTTCAAATTAAATTTTGAAAGTGTTCCGGAAAGTCTGACACTTTTCTATATATCTTAAATTAAAGCTAATGTAATATACTTTATAATGGTAAAAAAAAATTTCGGACTTTATTTTATCTTCATGGTGAAAACAGACATTAAACTTAATAAAAAAAATACGATTTTTGTAAAAAAATTCTTTTTTATATTTTTAACTTTATAATGCTATAACTTCTCGAAAGATGTATGGATCAATATAATTCTTTTTTTTGTAGATGCATGATGTCTTTACCTATCATTTGGTATATTTTTTTTATAAATCTGACTTTTTACCTGCCTACAGGGGGGGATTCAAAATGACAACTTTTTCACAAAAAATTGACTTTTTCAACTTAAATTTTGAAAGTGTTCCGGAAAGTCTGACACTTTTATATATATCTTAAATTAAAGCTAATGTAATATACTTTATCATGGAAAAAAAAAATTTCGGACTTTATTTTATCTTCAAGGTGAAAATGGCTACCAAATGCTATTATTGTGTGAAAATTCTCAATTTTATTTTTTACATTTTTAACATTATAATGCTATAACTTATTGAAAAGTGTATTGATCAATATAATTTTTTTATGGGAAATACTATTTTCTAATAATCTCTTTTTTATTCTACATACTTTGTCTTAATCAGGATATTAATAAGGAACTAGCAGTTTATGAAGCTTTTGGAATAATCCACCAATTTTTTAAAATTAAACACTATCTAAAGATTTGCATCGAAGCGTTTTTTTTTGATAGTGATTTTAATCACTGTCAGATATCATTATACTTGATCCATCTATACCACGTCACCACTGTGCCGCGACCCCCCTGTGCTGGGTTTTTGTTAATTATTTTTCAAAAATAATTCGTATGATGAGAACTTAAGTAATAGTACAACAGAAATAGTTTCAATAAACTTTTATTACAATCATACTTTTTTTAATGAAAAAGGGATTAGGGGGAACGCCTTGTGGCTCGCGAACTTTGGGGCTCATATTAAGTTAACTAGCTTAGTTAAGATTAGTGAGTTTTTCTGTACTTTTTTTTGTTTACCATTTTTTTTATGGTAGCGATATTTTCCATATAGATGCCCATCTTTAGATACCACCCTAAAGTTCATTCTGAATGAAAATTTTTTCCAAAACGTTGAATTATCAATAGATGGATAAATTATTTATAATAATAAAAGTTATATGGAACAGGAAATTTTTGGAAGAAAAGATAGTGAAAATTTCACCTATATAATTTAATAATCAACTTTTAAAGTAATTTCTAATATCTAGAATTAGTAAAATTATATTATTTTTTACTTTATTGCTTTAATTTACACAAAAACAATCAATGTTATTTGATAATTATTAAAAAGTGGATTTTTTAATGAATTCATATTACCAAATAATTAACTCTTCCCATATTTTTTAACAGTTGGTATCACTGTTCGTTTATCCACAAAACAACTAACCTCAATTTACATCGTGTAAGTAACGAGATTATAATGAAAACTTCTTTCGCGTTCAACTTGTGATAGTTGTCTGATCGGGACTTCATTTCCCGAATAATAAAATTTGACTAGTTAAGAATAGTTATTATTTAATTAAAAGTAATGACTGCCGAAAAGAAGATCAAGGTGAAAAAACCCAAGGTATTACTTAAAATTATGTTAGTTACTGTAATATAAAATTTGACCTGAACAATTTTTAAGGCACACGTGTACTTACATCGCTTATATTGTTAAAATAATGTCGGAATTTCTTTAATTTATATTTTGTAATTAAATATATCTATATCAGTATTTTTATTTATTTTAGGTGAAGAAAACGCCTATTCAAAGTGTCCAAGTATTTGGTCGCAAGGTATGTGTTGATTAGAATATGAATAGCCCTGGTTATCAATTATATATTTTTAGATTTATTGTTTTAAAACTAATAAACAATATTTTCTATTTGTTAGGAAACAGTTTTTTTTTTATCTACTTTTGATGTCAATGATAAATATGTATATGTTGTAATATGAATTTATTATAATAGATGTCTTATAAAATATAGTCCTTATTTAAAACAAATTATATTTATGATATGGATTTAAAAGACCATACTATTAAATTTTCTGTTAATCATAATTGAAACATGAAATTTTATTTTATTTATTTTGATTTTATTATATTATTCTAGAAAACTGCTACAGCAGTTGCGTATTGTAAAAGTGGTACGGGTAATATAAGAGTCAATGGACGTCCATTAGAAATGGTGGAACCAAGAGTACTTCAATACAAGCTTCAGGAACCAATTTTGTTACTAGGAAAAGTATGTTATAGTTAATATTGCATTTATTTTGAGAGTAATTGAATGGCTTATAATAAACCAACCACTTAATATATTAAACTGTAAGCAAAATAGTCTTCAATTTTGTATTAATCTTCTTTAATAGGAACGATTCAGTGAAGTTGACATGAGAGTTCGTGTAAATGGTGGTGGTCATGTAGCTCAAATTTATGCAATCAGACAAGCTATATCTAAGGCTTTAGTTTCATATTATCAGAAATGTAAGTATTTTTAGTGATCAAATTAGTTTAACTATTGAACTAATATTTTGTTATTCTAGATGTCGATGAAGCTAGTAAAAAAGAAATTAAAGATATTTTAATTCAGTATGATAGGACTCTTTTGGTTGCTGATCCTAGACGTTGTGAAGCTAAAAAGTTTGGTGGTCCCGGAGCTCGTGCCAGATACCAGAAATCATACCGTTAATATCTTTTTTGTATGTTTATATATTGACCTAAATATATAAAGTTAAATAATAAATTGTATTAGTTCATCATTTAAGTTCCAAGAAATGATATTAAAAATGAAATCAAATTCATTTATTTTACAGAATTAAGGTTTTAAATTTTTTTATTTTCACTAAGTAAATTATTTGTATTATTGTATATAGGTAAAATATAAATTAGATAAATTATTTTGTAAAGGAAGAAATTATTATAACTTAACATATTAAAACTTGAAATAAGAATTATGTTTACAAAATTTCTCTAAATGCAGGTTTAACTGGTAGAATATTTNCAGTTACTATTTTTTAAGTTCTTTGCAGGTTTAACTGGTAGGATATTTATGATTAAATATTACAATCAGTAATGGTAACTACTGCAATATTATTAATTGATGTCCGGGGACATTGCTTTGTAGCAACATGCCTTCAAGCCCATCAATACAAAAAATAATTGAAAATTTAAAACAATTAATTTCCCATTGGTCAACTTAAAATCAGTTACAATTTTTTAAGTTCTTTGCAGGTTTAACTGGTAGGATATTTATGATTAAATGTTACAATCAGTAATGGTAACTACTGCAATATTATTAATTGATGTCCGGGGACATTGCTTTGTAGCAACATGCCTTCAAGCCCATCAATACAAAAAATAATTGAAATTTTAAAACAATTAATTTCCCATTGGTCAACTTAAAATCAGTTACTATTTTTTAAGTTCTTTGCAGGTTTAACTGGTAGGATATTTATGATTAAATATTACAATCAGTAATGGTAACTACTGCAATATTAATAATTGATGTCCGGGGACATTGCTCTGTAGCAACATGCCTTCAAGCCCATCTATACAATCCAAATGACGAGTTTTCAATTGTATCTGTAGAAATTAGTTCTAATTATTAATCGATTTGTAGGATAGACAAAATGTAAGGAAACTGATCAATTATTACAAAAACCCTATTTTTTACTTAAGCCCTCAATTTTCTCTTGTGACCATATCATCAGCGAGTAATATTACCTCTGCTTGTATTTCTTTAGTAATTTCATCCGTCACTAGAAAATGAGTAAAGGCTCAAAGTATTACATTATTGAACTCTTGTTCTTCGCAAAACATTTTTATCCCAATCGCCTTCATACATATCCTATTATATTAATGCACCTTGTTTCATTAATACTCACTTCAAAACTGCTCTCGGTACTTGTATCTTGTTCATTTTTTAAGTAGAATAATTAAAAACAATAATTGTTAAAGTTGTAAATTTATTATAAATGTACATAATTTGTACTGCTGTAAATCATTTAAGTAACGTGTTTGATTATAAAAGTAATATAACAAATATTTACTTTAAAAAAGTATTTAAAGTTATTCAAGTTTAAATAACAAAAGAAATGATTAATAATCATTAATCATCATAGGGTGGCGCAAAAAAAAAAATCGACCATGAAAATTGTTATCATACACTCCTAGATTTATCAATAAAATTTACAGGTCGCTCAACGCGTTTTTTGTATTTTGACCAAAAATGCCTTCTAATTATAAAAACTAAATTTTGGTCAATTATAATCATCGGTATATATAAAATGTTGTATTTTTAATATAGAGAGAGCGATTTTATAATTTTTTGATTTCTAATAGCTCTAATGATTGCGTAATTAACCTAAACGTCTAATTATATAGTACTTTTTGGTGGATCAATCTGATAATAATTTTTTTAAGTTTTGGTAAATTGATAGTTAACTGTTATGTTTGATATCTATATTGTAAATCATAAATTTATCATGATTTAATCGATGTATGTATAGCTATTTTTCTGACTTCATACTGCGTAACAATGAGATATTTATTGATAGATATTAATAAAGATAATATCAAAACTTAGTTAAAATAAGGTAAAATTTTCATTATTAGAAAAAAAATTTTATCCCTTAAAATAATTATAACCAAATTAGTTATAATTTTACCAAAAGTTAAAAAAAAATATTTGGCCCCTTTCAGATCGATTCAAAAAGTACTATATAATTATTACTCCAAATTATGCCAAAAATATTATTAAAATTAAAAACTTGTCATAAAAATTTATATAAATGCAATAATTTGATGTAAATTTATTGATTTCACAATGATGTATATTTTATATATATTAATAACAATCTTCAGCTTTCTTTGAGAAAATTTTGCCGATTAATGCTTCAAAGGAACCCCATTTATACTTAGTTTAAGACACTACGTTGAAAAAAATTTTTTTGTGGTTTTTTCCAATTTTTTTTACCTTCTTACTGAACCGATTTTATTTAACGATGCATGTCAAAATATCACAAATAGTATTTAATTGAAGCTACTGGCATCATAATTTCGAATTTTTCAATTGACTGGATTCTCTCAATCCTCATAATAAAGAGAAATATAGTTGTTATTAAACAGTCAATGTTGATATTTTTAGTTTTAACATATTGAAATTTATTTTAAAAACGATGGAGATCATTGCGAAATTTGTAATAATAATATTTTAAACATTCATCTTGTTTATGAAATATTATTAGGAAATTTAAACATTAACTGAAGTGCTAGAGAAATTTAGATATGTCGAAGTTTTTTTCTTTATATTTATTGATAATGTTCCAAGAAAGTTCATTAAACTTCTATGAAACAATGACATCTTTGTAAATAAATGTTAATTAAATGAGATTTTTTAATGTACTAGTAATGCCCAAGTCAAATATATTGTCGTAATAGTGTAACCAGTAAATAATACCATTTTTGTTATTATTTCTTAATATTTTTATGTTTATTAAATCTTCAAAAATTGAATTATTTTATAAACAATTGTTATATAGCAAATTAGTAGATAACATTTTAGATTAATTAAAATTTCCAGTCAATGAAATATATATGCACATTCAACACATATTACGATAGATATATCATCTGAAAAACCAATAACTAGAGATAAAATGAAAAGAAATCTCAATATAAATCTTACTGTTTAAAGTGTTCATATAAATTCTAACTTTAAAAAAAAAATGTTTATGTGGGATCTTGTAAAGCTTGATAAGAAATAAGGAACTGAGTTTCCTTGTATTTTCTGTATACTTCAAATTCTGTCAATATAGTTTAGAATTTTTATTACACAGGTGATCAGTTTAATAAATAATAGAAATTTAGTCCAAAATCATTTAACTATAACAAGCTGTAACAGACGAACAGTTGATCGGAAAAAAAAATTATAAGAACAAAGGTTTTTGTATTTTTATTTTAAATAAACAAATTCAAAATTGGGGTTCCCGTTTAAGAAAATTCAAGTTAATGTTATTTAACCTTGAAAAAAATTATGTTTTTACTACATATTATTATAGAAGTTTTTGAATTAAACAATATTTTCCTTGCCAAAAATTTAAAATGTTCAATAGTTACCGAGAAAATGAGTGTCTTATTCTTAATAAATCACCTTATATACAATAAAAACGCCATAGATTTCATAACAAAGAAAAATTACTTATTATTAATAATTATGAGTAAATAACATCGTATATTTAACATTAATATTTCCTGTATAATTATCTCTTATGTTATTTAAACTTAAACAACTTTAAATACTTATTTTTATGTCTATATTTATTATATTACTTTTATAATAAAACACGTTATTTATAGTAATACAGTAGTACAAGTTATGTATATGTAAAATAAATTTTAAAATGCATAAGATACAGATACAGTAAAATATAGATAAACCGATCACCTGTGTAATAAAAATTCTAAACTACATGGACAGGATTTGAAGTATACAAAAAATGCAAAGAAACTCAGTTCCTTATTTCTTATCAAGCTCTACAAGCTCCCACTTAAACATTATTTTTTGAAAAGTTAGAATTTGTATGAACACTGCACGGTAAAATTTGTATTGAGATTATAAGTTCCTAGATTATAGTTGAAATTTCTTTTCATTTTATCTCTAGTTATTGGGTTTTTAGATGAGTAACTCGTACTGGACATTTATGGTAGCTCATACAAGCACAGAATAGATACAACAAAATATTTAATATAGTGTGTCATATATTTTTCTTCGAATAGATTATTCATTACCAAGTGAAAACAACGCTACTAAATTTCAAAAAAAAATTTTGTTGAATTTTCAGAGCAGACAAACCATGACTGTGACCAGGTAAACAGTACTTTTTTAATAGAAAAGTTCACCTTTGACCAAATTTAAGTTCTAATCTGTCCTTAGAACGGAGAGATCATGGATTTATTTTATCAATAAAGTTTTTACAAATTGTACGAATGATTTAAAAACTGTGCTACTTTTTGGTTATACCCTTTCGCTAAAATTAGTAAAAAATTTAAGCTGCAATTTATTTTAATGGGATATTTTTTGTTATATATGGTGTACACTGTATTACGTTCTTTTGTCACACTCGCACCACTTCGCTTTATGCGTTCATGAATATGCGTTGCAGAAACAGTTGTGTTTTCGTCCTCGATTGTTGTTCGCAATGGTCACGTCCGCGCGACGGCATAATTCGTACATCGACAATTGTCTGATCTTATCTTAGGCTTTTGTATTTGTACTTAGCCTACAATAGTTATTAAAAATTATACAGATAAATCATTCGTTCAATCGTTTTTAGTCGTTCGCGTGTGGTCATTTTGTGGTGTAAACACGTTAATTGATCAGTGCGAATGATAGTGGATACTACAATATCGTACAATATGGCTATGAAATAAACATAGTTACTCAACTTAGTTGAAGGAATATAATGCGAATTTGTTCTGGCCCGGTAAATTACAAACTCCGTCCCAGGTAAGTTTTATAATTATTTATAATTTTCTTTAATTGAGAGTGACAATGATAACACTGTTATAAACGAGGTCAATATGGAAAGGCTGTCATCGTCAACGTGTTGCTCTGTCATGATTAATTTTATGATTTAGCTGTTTTGTTTGGTAATTTTTTTGTCGTAAAATTTTAAAGTTTTCCTGTAGAATGTTTGTGTTATTTCTATGATTTCCTATTCGTTCATGTAGTATAATCATATGTTATATAATATTTACATATTTTTTTTATAAATATAAAATATAAATTAGTATATAATATTATATTTGTAATACCCAATGCAATTCTTCTGTTTAATCAAAAATAATTTAATATAATTAGATAAGAATCTTTAAATAGTTTTTTTGTGTATAATTGTTGTATTTAAATGTTGAAGATTATAATCATTTAGATTTAGATTATATGTAATTTATAACTTTGTCTCTATATAAAAAAAATATTATAAGCCTTTCATTAATTTTTTTATGGTCACTAATTTAAATAGTATTAGTGGTAACATTGTCAAAACCTCTTGATCTCTAAATAAAGGTGGACTTTTGAATCATTAATCAATAATCTTGAATTTTGCTGGAACATGAATACTTTGACAAAATGATAAGCAAAAATTCAGTTCTATGTACTTTTTATTCATAATATGTAAGAATTAATCTTACTTCAAAAATCAAACATTTTTTCCTGCCATTTATGTGTAATATATATTCTAATGGCCTTTATAGAAAACAATTAACTGATGTTTAACAAGATAACTAATATTTCAAAGCATTCATAGTAATGTAATTAACCCATAAGTTAAAAATCTTGATTAGGTGAAATATATTGTTCTCTTAGGTAAACCTTGATTATTCAAAAAAATAAAATTAAGATAAATCAAAGACAATAATTATAGTTTATTATAAATTGTGATTTTTTTATAAAATTTTGTTTATTAATATGTAGAAGAATTAATGATGAAAATTAATTGTTTGTATTGTACTAATAACAAAAATTTGTTAAAACTTTATTGAATTAAAAATTATTAATTGGAATCGATCAGTTACTTTTGTGTGGCTAAGTTTTGTGTTTGCAAGAATGATTCTAATGATTCATTAAATTCTTTAAGACAAACTTTTTTCTCTAATATTTTGATAACTCTTTCCTTGAGCTTTAAACTTCTCTTAACTTATCAAAGTTTTACTGTAGTCAAATTACATTAAAAATAATTTGTGTGGGTTTATGTGTACAATCTACTCTTAAAAGTATAATTACAATTTTAAGCTAGGAGAGATAAAGTGGTTGTTTTTAGAGTTCAACTCCCACGTATATCCAAAATTCACGATAAAAATTAAAATAATGCAAGGGTTGATGAAATCACACATCCCCTACATTAAAATTAAAAGAAGTTTTTGATTTGTAGCAGTTACGAATAAGCTAAAAAATGTTGGTGTTCTATAAGGTATTCTGAATGTATGAATATATAAAAATTAATTTCAGCTATATTTTTATTTTCTAACTAAATGTTTATATTTTAATTTTTTTTTATGAGATTCTATTATTTAAATCATTAAAATTTTATAAGCAAATTAAAATTGAGAATTTTTAGTTTACTTAAAATTTATTGCATTTTATTTAATTTAGTTATTGTATTTCTAGAGTGACATGTACAGCAGTCAATCACAAGGTTTGTGTTCAGAACGGCTGGTGGCTGATGAAAGTGTTGCTATTGTCACGCATCACAAAAAACGCAAGCTGGACCAATTACACAATGCCGCTTGCGGCACAGAAAACTACCATCATAATAAGTACAAATTGAGTTCATTACACCATCATTACGAGCCAATAGTTGAGTTAGTTTCTTATGAACCAATAAAATATCGTAAACATCATGGTACTTCAAATGCTCCATCCAACATAAAGATCAGTCCATCTTCTGCCCACAATCAAAATTTCATACGAGCATCAACCATAAAATTATTAGATACATACCAACGCTGTGGACAAAAGGTATGCAAATAACTGCAATATAACACATTGAAAACTAAGATTATAAAGTTGAAAAAGATTTTCAGGTTCTATCTATTACATTAAATTAATTTTTAATGTGTAGATTTTCAAGGAAATTGACTTACAAAATTAATATCATTATTATTATAATATTAATTCTTTTATAAATAAAAACGGTAGCACAGTTTGGACAAGTAAAGATGATATCTGACAGTGATTAAAATCACTATCATAAGAAACGCTTCAATGCAAATCTGTAGATAGTGTTTAATTTTAAGAAATTGGTGGATTATAACAAAAGTAAAATTAACTCATATTTTCTTCATTATTCCTAATTAGTAGTTCTATGATTTATAAGTATAATATATGAATAAATATCTATTAGAGTAATTCAATGTAGTATAAAATTGATATTTAATAATTTAGTATTGTAATTTTGATGGAAAAATTATTAAGTAGTTGTTACTTTAATGGAAAACGTGTTTAAAAATTGAAGAGCTTAATATAAAACTTTTCATTAGATAATTTATTGTTTATTATGAATAAATGGTCTACAAGGAATTTTCTGTTAGCAGTTTTAAGTAAAAAAAGTTAAAAAAATTTCGAAAATTACTGATTTTTAAAAATGTAATTTTTGGAGGATTTCTCTTATTTACGTTGAACAAAGGACATTTTTTCAATTTTTAAGGGCAATGACTTCGACTAGATTTTATCTAGTATGATTTGTGATATTTTGACTTATTTTTTATCAAAATTGGTCCATTGAGAGCTGAGAATGATTGGTAACAGACACAAAAAAAAAACATCATAGATTAATTAATACCTTCTCAGATTTGCATTGATGCTAAAAATAAATTAATAAAAATAAATAGCTTCTACTTGTTACTTGTTATATTTTACTTGTATTTATTTAATGATTAATATTATCATTATGATTTTTTTATATTTTGAGATAAATACCATGAAATTAAACTGCTTCTAATCTATAGAATTCATAAAGAAAGTATTTATTTTGCAATTTAGTACACATATCATGATCAAGCATATATTAGTTTTAACTATAGACATAATTTTTATCATAAAATTCTATAAGAAATATATAAATATAAATGAATAGGTGAGTCATAAAGGTATAACAAATCTAATAATTTTTGATCCAATTATCCAAATTATAATTTTTGTAATTATTGACTTCATAGACTACATTCAAAAAATATTTTTATTATTTATCATTAATAAAGAAATATATGTTCTAAATGTCAATATTTTTACTTAAGAGATTATGTGAAAAATTGATAATTTGTTAGACTTATATTAATTGTTGTGTTAACGTATTAAATTATTGTGTAATTAAAAAATACATTATTATGTATTTGTTTAATTAAATTTATATTATAAAAAAGCATTTAATTTCCATGTGAAAAAACTTAATTCAATTTATGCACGACGATTAGGGTCAGAAATTATAATTTTAGTAATAGAATTTTTTGTCTTTTAATGAATATTTGATAGTTATAGTGTAATAAAAGCATAATTAAAAAATTAGCGTCTTGAAAGTTATAAATTATGCTATATATAAGAAATTAATTTGTCATGATAGACTTATGTCTTAATTATATTTTCTAATTTTTGCAAAAGTGAGTTTACTTAAAAATATTTTAATACTTTAACAGCGCAAGTCTTGTGAAGGTGGTGTAATTAATGGTGTTGAATCAAGTGGAGCTGGAGGAGCCAATATTACATCAACGACAACTACTACTACAGCTACAACTGGACAACAAGGAAAACAGGGTGCTGATGGTGATTATCAATTGGTTCAACACGAAGTTTTGTACTCAATGACGAACCAATATGAAGTTCTTGAATTTTTGGGAAGAGGAACATTTGGCCAAGTAATTCCATTAAATAATTTTTTTCTTTTATAATTTTTAGATCATTGAAGTTCTAATGATCAATTTTTGAATTTTAGGTTGTAAAATGTTGGAAAAAGGGAACAAATGAGATTGTTGCTATTAAAATATTAAAAAATCATCCTTCTTATGCTCGACAAGGTCAAATTGAAGTAAGAATTATTAAAAAAAAATATACTTTATACAATATACTTTTTTTTTTAAAGAGAATTACAAAAGATATTTTATGTTATCTAATTTTAAGGTAAGCATTTTATCTCGACTTAGTCAAGAAAATGCAGATGAATATAATTTTGTTCGTGCCTATGAGTGTTTCCAGCACAAAAATCATACATGTCTGGTTTTTGAAATGTTAGAACAAAATTTGTACGATTTTCTTAAACAAAATAAATTTAGCCCTTTACCATTAAAATTTATTCGGCCAATATTACAACAAGTGCTTACTGCCCTTCTAAAGTTAAAGGTAATTTTTTATTTATGTTTTAATATGATTACAACTCATTAGGAATTTTTTTAATTTAATGACTAATGACAATATTGGAAAACATTTTATTAAGTAAACAATAATATCTTGGATTTACATTATTAACTAAAATCAGATTTTGTAATGTAATGAAAATAATGTAAAATATGCTTGTGTCTATGTTAATTAATATTATTTATTAGATCAATATTTTCTTTTAAAATAAAAAACATAAAAATCACATATAATAAAAACATGTAGTTATTTCATGTTATTTGTGGTTTACTTTTTAACTATATTTATTTTTCTCAATGTTGGATTTTGAAATTCTAATATTTTACTTTTTTCACATTTTAACAATTTAATAATATTATAATTAAGTTTCTTTTTATGATTTTTAAAATTTCTAGCTAATATATTTATTGTAGTAACGAATGTATTTTAGGACTTGGGTCTCATTCATGCAGACTTAAAACCAGAAAATATAATGCTGGTGGACCCTATACGCCAACCATATAGAGTTAAAGTTATAGACTTTGGTAGTGCTTCCCATAAAAGTAAAGCTGTTTGTAATACATATTTGCAGAGTAGATATTACAGAGCTCCTGAAATAATATTAGGTATCAAACTTAAATATCAAACTTTTTTTTCTTTGTGATCACTGTCAGCATACTAATGGTTTCTCACAATTATAGTTAATAATTTTTTATAATATTTAAGGATTACCATTTTGTGAAGCAATTGATATGTGGAGTTTAGGATGTGTAGTTGCAGAGTTGTTCCTTGGTTGGCCATTATATCCAGGCTCATCAGAATATGATCAAATTCGTTACATTTGTCAAACACAAAATTTACCTAACCTAGATATGTTAACTAATGCCTCTAAAACATCAAAGTTTTTTTATCGTGATGTTACTTATCAAAATAATTGGAGACTCAAGGTAAATTAATAATTACTGGTAGTAAAAAATTGTTATTATAAAAAATAATAATATTTTAGCTTTGATGCAAAGCTGAAAAGATATCTTATGTTATTATATATATGTATATATTTTTTAAATTAAAATAAAGGCTGCAGCAGTAAAGGCCATTGGCCGTGATTACATGTACATCAAGTGTATATCACAATAAAATAGCTATTTAAATAATTTGATTAGGTTAACAATGAGAGTAAATAACAGTTGGCCACTAGCACATAAGTTACACAGATATTATATTAAGTCAAATAGTACAATAGTCTTGAGAATTTTTGTCATCTTTCGTACATATTTAAGGTCTTGTTTCAGAATTAGGGAGAGGTGGTGAGATATCCCATGTACCTCTCTTTGATATTCATACTTTTGACAATTTGTGAAAATATGTTTGACAGAGTTAGAGATTCCGCAAATCTCACATATTGATAGAGTAGTACTGTTTTTCATTAAATATCCATGAATTAGATGTGTATGTCCAATTCTGAGCGTGTCAATGATAACTTGGAGTTTGCGTGGTATGTCAAGGTATGGGTATTTTTGGGTGTTAGGTTTTATTTCGTGTAGTTTAGTTTCAGTGCTTATACATTCTTGTTGCCATAAGAGCAAACATAGATAGTGCATAAAGGTGTTATTAAATTATTATTATTTAATTTTTTTTAAATAAGATAATGGAAGAACATGAAGCAGAAACCGGAATAAAATCTAAAGAAGCAAGAAAATACATTTTTAATTGCTTAGATGATATTGGGCAAGTAAATGTACCTACTGATTTGGAAGGCGGTGAACTTTTAGCTGAAAAAGCTGACAGACGTGAATTCATTGATCTTTTAAAAAGAATGTTGTCCATGGATCCGGTGACTATTTTTAAATCAATTTTCGAAGAATTCATTTAATTTTAATTTATTAACTAATTTAATGTTTATTAGGCAAATAGAATCCATCCTAATATGGCTCTTGTTCATCCATTTGTTACTCTAGCTCATTTGGTAGATTTTGCTCGTTGTGACAATGTAAAAGCTAGTGTACAAATGATGGAAGTTTGTCGACGTGCTTTACCAGATCATCATTCAAGTACTGGTCAAGCTGTTTTAGTTCCAGCTACAAATGCTAATGTCACATTTGCTTTTAATAATCAGGTTAGATGTAATTTTCAACTACTCTAATTGAAATAATTTTTATTTATAAGAATAATTTTGTTCAATTAAAACATATATGAATTTAATCTAATTAAAATCATAAACAAAATCTCTTTTACAAATTTTGGTCATTTGGAAATATTTATGAATGAGCATTCCATATTTAAGGCATTTTTTTTTTTTTTTTTTTTAAGCTATATTACAATATCTCATACTATAACTATTATAATCATATTGGTGATCTACTCCCAGTTAAAGTATTCCAAATAAGTAAATATTGTACATTAACCAATCCCTAAGTCTAAATTTAATGTAACATATTTACAAGATTGGATAACATTTTTTTTTATAAATTATGATGTTATAGCTCAAGAGCATAACAGTTATTTAAAAAATTAAGGAAAGATTAATTATATCAAAAGTTATAAGACCTGTCAAAACATGCTACTAGACTATTTGTTGTATAAACAGGTGAACTAGATGTAATCAACAATTCTTATAATTTTTAATACATTTAATATTTTAGCTTTGATGCGAAGCTGAGAAAGTATTAATTTTACCATGATGTGTTTTTTTTTTTTGTGTCTTGCCACTTTTCTTCAGCTCTCACTGGACTGATTTCTTTCAACGATACGTCAAAAGATCACAAATCGTATCTAGTTGAAGACATTACCCTTAAAATATGAACAAAATTTCTCTCGTTCCCCTTAAATGGAAGAAATCTCTAAAAAAAATTACAATTTTAAAAATCAGTAATTTTTGACATTTTTTTTCTTAAAACTACCATAACTTTTTTAAAAATAAACAAATCAAAATAATTTTTTTATATTGAAACCTTGGATATTTCCCTTTTATTTGATATAATTTTTTTTGAAAATCTAACACGTAATTTGCTCACAAGGGTAATTTAAAATAGCAACTTTTTAACAAAAACTAACTTTTTCAGTTTAATTTTTGAAAATGTTTTGGGAATACTCCAAGCTTTAAATATATGTCAAATTGAAGCTAATGTTACGTACTATAAATTTAAAAAAAAATTTGTCCTAACAACTTATCTTCTACGTGAAAACGATTGCCGTAGTTAGAAAAATGTTATTTTTATGTTAAAATTTTCTAATTTCGATTTTAAATGTTCAACTTTAAATTGCCATAACTTTTAAAAAAACTTATGTAACAACACAATTTTTTTTTTCAAAATACATTATATATACTTATTTCATTTGACATACTTTTTATTTAAATTGGACAATTTCCCCTTATACAGTAGGTGTTTAAAACTTGAAACATACGTATAAAAAGTAAAACTTTTGAAAATGTTTCCAAAATACTCCGAGCTTTAAATATATGTCAAATTAAAGTTTACAATAAATACTATAAGTTCAAAAAAAAAAAAATTTTGTCCCGACACCTTTTCTTCTATAGGATTATGACCGTCGAATTTCACAAAGAATATAATTTTTATGTAAAAATCACTATGTAACATGAAATATTTTAATAATGGAAATTGTCATAACTTTTTGAAAAATGAACAAATTAAAATAATTCTTTTTTATATTGAAACCTTAGATATTTTTCTTTCATTTGATATAACTTTTTGAAAATAAGATTAAACCTGCCCACTGGGGGAATTCAAAAAAGCAATTTTTGCACACAAGTTAAGCTTTATTTAATATAACTTTAAATTGTAGAATCTTTTTAAACAACAAAAGTTAATTAGAAATGATTACTATGATTTTTATTTAAGTGATCTATTACAGTAAAAATGCAAAAAACATAAAGCTTTTATGATAAATTTACTGTAAATAGTAATTATAAAATTTGCTGACTGCATATTAATCTTAAAAATTTCATTTTTTTCTATTTAATGATGTCAATTTTAAACTTTTTAGTTGAGCTAAAAGTTATGGCAATAAATTGATTTTTTTTTTGCTATAAACTTTCACAAAAAAAAAGTAGGTTAATAATTATTACTTTTGACATATTAAAAATCAAAATCAATAATAATTTGAAAACAGTTATAAAAATTATATAATATATAATTAAAAACTATATATTATATTTTTGAATCTATGATTTACTAATCTGGATATAATTAAGGAAATAGAAGTAGATGTTGCTTTTGTAATTATCCATCAATTTCTTAAAATTAAACATTATCTACAGATTTTTATCGAAGTGTTTCTTATGATAGTGATTTTAATTAATGTCAGATTAAATCTGTATTGGACCCAACTATGCCACGTCCCCACTGTGCTGGGTTTTTTTAAATTAATTATTATTTTTTTATTATTCAAGGTAAAGGAATAACTTTGTTTTTGCTTTCCTGAATAATTTAAAAAAATGGACTACTTTTTATTGAATTAATTCAATCCTTAGTCTTTTATTATAATATTATTGAATTTAGTTTTTTTAAATAGAAACATTTATGTTAAACAGCATAAAAATTAGAAAGAATATAATCTAATTAAGAAAATTACTGTTCAGTAACAACTTTTGGATCTGTATTTTAAAAAATGTTACCATCTTTGTACTATGGTTAGAGGTAGTAGACATTAATGTCTACAGATAAAAATATACTAATTCTCACTTCATCTCTAGTCTTAATATTAAAATATTAATAATATTAATATTATTATAATAATATTATTAATATTATAATATTCAAAAGTTGTTATTCAACACTCATTTTCTTAATTAGACCATTTTTTAGTTTGTAAGTTAATTAAACATAAATGTTACTAATTAAAAAACTAACTAGTAGTTGAAAACTATACTTTTCAACAAGTGAGTGATTTTAAATATCTTGGGGTAAACATAAGCCAACAAAATAATATGCACAACGAAATTAAAATAAGGATATCTGCCGCTAACAAGGGTTACTATGCTTTAGAAAAATTATTCAAATCAAAACTTCTTTCTAGACGATCAAAGGAACGACTATACTCAAGCTTCCTACGGCCAGTGTTAACATATGCGTGTGAAACATGGTCAACAACTAAAGGAGATGAGGAAAAAATGGCTTGTTTTGAAAGAAAAGTACTCAGAAGGATTAGAAAATGAAGTGTGCAGAAGAAGAACTAATAGAGAAATACAACAAATTTATCGAAAACCTGGTATTAACGCTTTCCTCATGAGCAAACGAATTGAGTGGGCAGGGCATGTATGGAGGTCAAATGGAATTTTAAAGAAAGCACTAGAGGGAAAAATAAATGGGAAAAGACCTAGGGGCGGCCCAAGACAGCGCTGGATAGACAGGGTCAATGATGACCTTAACAAATGCAACCAGGAAGTAACGATAGCAGACAGCGTTGATAGAAATAGGTGGAGGAATGTAGTAGAGGCAGTGAAAGTCCTTCAAGGACTGTAAAAGCTGAAGAAGAAGAAGAAGAATTAAAAAACTAATATTAATGCAATTTTAAAAAGGAAGGGATTTATTTATAGGACCAATTTTTTTTTTTTTTTTTTGGAAATAATAGAACATAGGATACAACTAATTTTTGATAAAAAAATTATATCATGTTTTATATTATTTTAGAAATGCCATAAGTCATAATTTAACAATCACTATATATATAGTTGATTATATTTATTTTATACAAAACTCATTCAATTTATATAAATGATTTTAGTATCAGTTGTACAATAGTCGCTCAATGGCTCGTCAGTATGGCAATAGTTCTAATCAGCATCATACTCAACTTTCTATTTTATGTTCTGCTGGTCCTGGAGCATATCAAACTGGAACGTCACCACCAAAACATGTTGCTGTTATGCCTCCCCCACCTCATCCTTCACAACTTCAAATTCAACACTCTACTAGCTTACTTGCTCAACAGGTTTGTTTTTTATTTTAATATTAGTAAAAGGGATGTGATTAATACACTATTACTACTAGTATTATTACTATTATTATCAGTGAATTATATTAGCTTCAAAGCGAAGCTGAGAAGGTGTTATTACTATGATGTGTTTTTTTATTTTTGTCTGTAACCACTTATTCTCAACAATATGTCAAAAGATCACAAATTGTATCTAGTCGAAGACATTACGCTCAAAAATTTAAAAAAATTTCCCTTTTTTCCTGTAAATAGGGGAAATTCCCAAAAAAATTACAACTTTAAATTAATTTATTATTTAAATATTTAATACAAATTATGAAATAGTTATTCATAAATTATATTTTTAAATGTCAGAACTACTAATCAGGTTATAATTAAGGAAATAGGAGTTAATGTTGCTTTTATAATTATGTACCAATGTCTTAGAATTAAACAATATCTACAGATTTGCATCAAAGAGTTAATTTAATCACTGTCAGATATCATCTATACTTGTTCCAACTATCCTACATCCATACTGTGTCATGACCTCACTGTATTACCGTTTATTTTATTTTTTTTAAATAATGTTAGTTATACTAATTTAGAAAATATAGAATTTTATGCAAATTATTATTTTTTCAACCCAAATTATTAGTTTTGCAATTGATATGCACTCTCCACTTTTCCCTGTTCCTAGTTAACCTCTTAAATTCAGTATAGCTTGATAGTCTTGAAAATAATTTGTTTGACAAATAAAGTCTTGAACGTTCTCTGCCTCTTTTTCCTTCAATTTCCCCTTTTATTATTCTATAAATTAATTCATTTTCATGTCTCAACATGTGACCAGTCATGTGTTTATAGTCTTGCTTGATGATTTTGAGTATCTCTCTGCATTCATCTATTTTACTAAGTATGTATTTGTTTGTACAGTGTCCTATCCAACTCACTTGCAGTTTCTTTTTCCAATGCCACATTTAAAAGCTTTTGAGAGAATTCCATATTCTACTTTATTTAGTATTCAGGTTTCAAATCTATATAGTGCCACAATCCATACATATATTTTTATGAAGCATTTTTTCACCTAAATACTTATGCTATTGAAGTATATAATATTTTTTATTTTTAAATATGGCTTTGTCTATGTATATCTTTTTCTGCAGTTAATATTTTGGAATATATTGGATATTACAGTAATATCATATGATTTATGAAATTTTACAAGGTGGTGTCTTCTTTTAATTTTAGTTCCTAGCCAAGTGATTCTACTTCTTGATCATCTGCACCTTCCTCTACTATAGCTTTCCAATCACCCATTACTATTAGGATCTCTTCTCCTTTTGTTAGCTTGTACACCTCTTCTAGACTATAATAGAATATACCTCTTCTATAGCATTATCATATGCCTCAGATGTTAGGAAATGCATTTGAATTAGTATAATATAATTTGATTTAGTTCTAAGTTTAATAAATATAAGCCTATTGTTATATGCTATTTTGTTCACAATTTTGTTTATTTCTTATTTATAATAAATCCTACTCTTGAATGTCTTTTTAATTTTTGAAATATTACTCGGTTTTTTACATAAATTCTGTTCCTTAACTTACTTGCTAAAAATGTTACTTATATTTTATATTTTACCTATGGTAAAAAAAAAAATAATAAAAAAAATTTAATATTTTAATAAACTGACTATTTGGTTTAATTTTCTTTTTCTCCTAAAATATAAAGTTAAAACAAGTTATTATTAAATTATAGTTAAAATGAAAATGTGTGAATGTATATTTTCTTCTTTGTCCTCTTATCTATATTAACAATTTGGGGTCAGACACCTTTATTCTAAACTTCAACTTAAAAAAATCTCCCGCATTATTTATGCACACATTGTCTGTCCTCATATTGCATTCAATATCATCCCTCTAGCTCTTTTTTGGTCTTCCTCTACCTCTTCTTCCCTTTTATGAAAACATTTATTTTCATAAATGTTCTTACAGCTTCCAGTTCTTCTCTCCTTATAACACTCTGAACCATACATCATAGCTGATCTCATTATAGTCTTATAGAACTTACTTTTTACCTCATTGGAATTCTCTTAACGCATAACACACCAGACGCTTCTCTCCACTTCACCGACCGGCACTTAATCTTGTGTCTTATAACCCTGTCAAAAACACCGTTCTTTTGCATAACTGATCCTAGATACTTAATAATTTCCACTTATCCTATCGCGTCCTCGCTTATTGTCACTAATCTCATTTCACCTACTTTGTGTTCTTCTTAGTGAAACAAGTAATCCATATACTCTGTCTATTATTCCTACTTAATCTTAATTCAAACAATTAAATACCACACAGATTTTTTCTCCTTTTATTTTTCTATTAGTTATCTTACATAAAAAACTGGCTTCAACATTAAATTTCCAGACAAAAATCCAAACTGTTTTTTTGTTACTGATATTTCTCCTCTTATTCTTTTGTCTGTTAACTTTTTCCAAATCTTCATACTATAACTCATAAGCTTAATGCCTCTATAATTTCTTGTATATCTCCATTGCCTTTAAATATCTGCACCATAATACTATTCCTTCATTCTTCTTTTGACATTTTCCATTCTAATAAAAATTTTTTAAAAAAATTCTTCAAATACCTTTTGCCAATACTGCCTAATATATTCCATACTTCTGCTGGCACTTCATCGGGTCCTATGATTTTATTCTTTTCAATTGATGCCACAGCCTCTTAACCATATACACCCACACACACATTTATATTACTTTTTGATATATCACTTAAAAATTTTAAAAATGTAAGGAAAAGTTAGTATTTAATGATTTAATAGTTAAGTTTAACTTTTAAAAGTTACATATAAAATCTACCCATAGTTTTTTCTTATAATAAATTTAATATTTATTATAGTTCATAAAAATAAATCAAATTTTTATTTGTAAATTTGTATACAAGAGTCATTATTTAAAAAAAAATTGAAGGGTATCATTCTTGAATCACACTATGTATTTACAAAAAGGATGTTTTTACAAATCAAATAACTTTTAATCCAGTGATCTTGCATTAATTTTTAGATTTCAACTTTGTTAAAAACTATTTTTTATTATTTGTCTCTAGTAAGAAAAAAATATAAATAACAATTTTTATTTATATACATTTTTTTTATTATTGATAAATAAGAAAAAATATGGTTTTAAATATTCCATAATTATAAAAATTATTTAAAAAAAAATAACACTTAGTTAATTGGTTTGAAAGTTATTAGATTTTCCAATATAATCAGGGTAGACTACTTATATATATATATATATATATATAATTTATATTTAATCTTAATTTTATTACTAGTCTGGAGGTGGCCAGCAACAGTATGTACCAGTATCAATGGTTGATGGTAGTCGTCAAATGATAGCTACATGGCCTGCACCCCCAGCACCTCATCATCGTCAAATGGCCATTGTGCCTCCACCAGGTGCAGGCGCACCATCAGGTACTTGGCATTCAGCATCAGCTGCAGCAGCCGATTGGGCTACAGCTTCTGGTCCTAGACCTCTCATAGTAGATTCTACTACTGCAATATTACAAGTAATTTGTTAAATTATATTTTATTATTAAAAAGAAAAATTTAATAAAAATGGTAATTATTTTAGGATCAACGTTCAGTGGCCTTTACTACAGCTGATGTTTATGATAGTATTATAGAAAGTCCTACTGTTGTTGGAACAATTTGGGGTAGTTCAGGTAATAATGGAAAATCACGTTCAAACAAATCTCATTTAGCTGCTTCACAGTCTCACCATCATCATTCTCTTTCTTCCTTCAATCATCAAGCACCTTTAACTCATCATCATCACCATCTACGGCAAGATAAAAAAGAGTCTGTCATAAGTACAACAAATCAACTCAGCCCAGTTAAAAAACGTGTTAAGGAAGGAACTCCTCCACAAGGTATAGATTAAAAAAAAAAAAATTTTTAATTTGATAGTCTTAGTATTTAAGAATAAATTTAATTCTTATTTTAGAATATGAAGGGAGAAACAATAGAGGAAGTCTTAATCAAGAAAATGTTCCTAACTGGCATCAACCTTCACCTAGCTACAAACAACCAGTATGTTATGATATACAGCATGTTTTTGAACTCAATGTAGAACTATATAAAGTGGTATTCTATAAAATATACTAATTATAGATTTTTTCAGAGTTTTCATAGATTTTTCTTTAGGGTTACTTTAAAACTGAAATAGATCGAACTTAAATATTTATTGCAAAATTCTCATGTTAATTATTTGATTTTATATGAACATTTTTATTTTTTCATAAAATAACAGCACTGTTTCCAATTAATAAAATGTTATTTTGAGTAATATATTATTTTGTACAGAAATTTTAATGAAATTTCTATAAGGTTCTATTTTATTTATAAATATTTTTTTAATAAGTACTGTATTTATAAGTTTTTTTTAATTGTTATACTATAACATTATAATATAATATTTAATTATTTTAGTTAGTACTAAAGGATAAATATTTTTTAAAAATTCTATTATTATATTTTTAGGGGAATATTAAACAACACACAATAACAATTCATGACACTCCATCTCCTGCTGTATCAGTTATTACAATATCTGATAGTGAAGATGAAGCTTCAACTAAAGGGTAAATATTTCAAACTAGATTTTGAATACTTAATATTAATAGTTTTTAATGATCATTTAATATATTTCAGTATTGAATTAAATATTAAAGCAAATCGTAAAAATGTCATATCTTGTGTCACTGTTGGTGAAAGTGATAATGAAGATCATGTGTTATCAAAGCATGTACCATATCATCAAAAACATCTTCAGGGTTTGCGTTCTACTCCAGTTATTTATCAACCTCAATCAAAAAGTTCTAATATACAGGTACACATTCTAAATTTTTTTTCTCTAATATGTAATAATAACAAATATTTTAAATTTCATTGTTCAATTTATATTTTAGTTTTAATATTTAAATTATTGTATGTATTTTTTTATTAGAATGGAGAATTTTTACAGTGTCAAAACAGTCCTTCTAGTATTGAATTAAGTGGTCAATATTCATCAACTAATACTTCAGCCAATAATAATTCTCAACAACCAATATATATGCCCCAGTTACCAAGTGAAATAAAACATGAACCACACTTAAGGTAATTAATTAATTAAATTATAAATTAAGTAAGAATAAAAATTGTTTCTCAGTTTTAAATGAATTGAAGTAATGTATAAAATAATATTAATGTATTTTGCGGTCTTGAGTTTTCGGCCTTTATTTGGGTATTACTGTAGTATCAGTTTGATTTAAGTTCATGGTTTTGAAAAAATTAAACAATATTTCATATTTATAAATTTTATGTTCTAATTTTAGTTCTTCCCATATTAATAATACCCTAACTCAGTCACAACTCAAACGAATGGTATCTAAAGTACAACATACCCATCAAAATCAAGACTGTAATATTTTTAATTCACCTGGAACAAATAAACAAGAATTACCTCAAGCTATTGAATATTATTGTAGTGGAGCTAATTGTAAAGATCCTTATCATTATGTTTCGCCACATGATCAGCATATAGTATATGCTAGGTATGCATATAATTAAAATATTGATAATTTTATCATGAAAGATACTTAGTATTTATTTTATTTTAGTGATAAACGTTTATCATATGCAATTCCGTCAGCTCACAAACGTAATATAACAAATCCTTTGGACTATCAACTACAACCTCCTGTAGCCCATTCTAGTAGGGATTCTCACATTATAACGGCTCCTAAAACAGCATGGACTCAACAAGCAATACCTGTACATCAAGCTTATAGGTATATTATATTAATTAATTTTCATTCATTCATCATATAAAAATGAATTTAACAAATTTTTGTCAAGCAGTTTAACATTTTATTATTTATATTTAATCATATCATGATTTATATATTTTTGGTTTGAAATTTTGGTCTGATATTTAAATTATTTTTTTAGAAAACATACATTAGTAATATTTTTGTAGTAAAAATCCCTATAATTATATAAATTCAAAATTAAATTCTGTTATTTACTGAATACTTATTAATTAGTAGTCAACACCATTGATATGATATTTCCATAACATAAATGCTATAAAAGATTTATTTAATAATAGGTCAGTTAACTATTTGTTGCTTATTAATAATTAATTAACACAAAAGTATCATTTGATATTTTTATACTGAAATTATATTGTGTATTTTTCTTCTTATTTATACTGTTATTATTTATTTGTTTTAAAAATAACCGGTTATATTTTATTTTTAATAAATTCTATATTACTCAATACAAAAAAAAAAATTTCTTAATTTTCCTATTAAATTATCTTTAGTTTTTTAATAATAATTTGTAATAATCAAGATGTTACATTATATCCATTATGATTATTTATATAATCTTCATTAATAAGAAGAACTGATATCTTATTTTATTAAGTTTTTTTTATACATTTTTTTCTTTGTAGCTAATTAACTCACTTGAATACTTCAAGATGATTGGATATCATCTCTACATTGGAGATTAATTTGTTAAATTAATTTATAATCTATAAATAATTATGTTTTAATAATAAAAAAAAATTGATGTATAAACTTATAATTACCCAAATCTTTAGGTGTGGTTTCTATGTGCACAATGCAATTCAAATTTTTACTGTGCAATTAATTATCTTGCCACACAATTTTATTATTTTCTATTTACTGCAACTGATGCACCAGACCATGGTGAACAATTAAAATTTCATTTCATAAAATATTATTTTTAAGTTTATATTGTAGGGTGCTCCATGTATTAATTAGGTTCATAAACTTGCGTAGTGAACATTTATTTTTTGAACATACTTTTAAGTATAAAACAAAAGTTTCTACTAAATTTAATTCTCTTGGAAGGAATAGAAGAAGAATAAGTGTATCTTCTTCAGAGGAAAATGGACATAGAAATTTAAAGGGTGGTGGCTCATTTTTGACACCTTTCAGGAGTAGTCATTTTGTTCAGTTGCCACCGCGCGTGAGACTGCCATGCACCATCATTAACTATCAAACTAACTACCATCATTATCAAAGAAATTAGTTTTATTTAATGTTACGCAAACCAATAGTGTGCAGCTAAAATTTGAAGCGCGCTATCTCCAAATGCATATAGGAATTACACTTTTCGTTTTTTATTTTAGTTATTTCAATTTATTATACGTACATCACTGTATATTATTATATTCTCAGTTCATATTAATTTTTATATTTTAACTTTCTAAAATTTTGTAAAAAAATTCATATAACTTATAGTTATTTCAGTAAAATCTTTGACAAATAATTTACAATAAAGTATGATTTGAGAACTTTCAATTTAAAATATTAAATTCTTTTAACATTTTTAGGAGTCATGTGCCTGATTATACAACTGCCCATCTTTCTCCGCAAGCTTTAGGAGCTAATCGTGGGTTATCACCTCTTGCAGGTCAACCATTATACCATCAAAGTGATATTTACCGCCGACAAGCGGTTTATGTTACTACTGGGCAACCACCTACAGCTGCAGCATATTTGCCATCTCCACAAGTGCCTGCTACTGCATTTACTACTGGGTAAGTGACTTATAGAACTGCAAATTATCTCACAAAATTCATTAGCCACTATTTGAGTTTTTTTTTTGAGGGTGGGTTGAATAAAATTGTATATATTTTTATTTATAGTATTATTTTTTTATTTATATATCTTAATAATTTCTTTTATTAATTTTTTTTTAGACCTATTCCACCTCCAGCTCATCATGCAAGTGCAAGACCTTTATTAACAACACACGCCACTCATCCTTTGCCAGCTCATATGCAACCTACAGCAGTGTATGGCTACTTAAGTCCAGCTAAAACTCATCATCAGTATCAACCATTATGGTTCACTGAGTAGGGTTTACTACAGAGGTAAGTAAATATATTGTTATCAATGTTATTTGCTCAAATAAATATTAAATACTATATTAGTATAGTTAGAATTATTAGTATAGAAACTGCAACATCAAACTCCGCTAAAATATTACAATATAATAGTATTATAATTTTTGTCCTTTTATAAAAGCTTATATTTTTTTTTATATGACTTAAATATAAAATTTGTAAGTCAAGAACTGTAGTCGATTGGATAGAATGATACATCATACCCTCACTGTTCACGGTTTGATACTCTTAAGAATAAATGTTTTTTTTTAATATTAGTACTTTTGATGGCCATACCTTAAGTAGAAAGAAATGCCAATGTCTGCAGATTTGTGTTTTCTTTTTCTATCCTTAGCTATCATATTTTTTCCATTAGTCTTTTTTTATCAATACCTACCATACAGACTGTTCGTCCTTTTTCGCACTGTTTGATTAAAAATTGCTTATACTCATCGTACTTAATAAGTATTAATGCATCTCTATGTGCTATATCGAACAAATCATTTAAAGAATCGCTCAATTCAGTTCGCTGTTTATTCAAACTTTCACTTGTTCTATTAATAGTTTTAGAGAGTGATTGCCACACCTCATAAATTACAGTATGATATAAATAGTACAAAATAGTTAACGTTATAAAAATTAGAACATATCGATAAAATATTTTTACTATATTTATATTTTATAAATTACAATAGCTACAATATTATATATAATATTTTTCATAAGTCTATAGCCTAAAAATGTAAAACACTGAAATATTTAATATTTTTCCAAAACTTTGAGCATTATGTGCGCCAAGTTAATCAAGTAGTATAAAGGTCAATTTTTTTGAGATTATCTATAGATATAAAGGAACAAATTTACGCTTCTCAAATTTTAAAACTTAAAAAATTTCGACCACCCTAATATGTATATGTATGTATGTATATTATAATTATAATTATATCAAGACTATTAGTTACAAAGTGTTAACTTGCATTGTATTAGTTAATAGTTTTTTAAAAAAATTTTATATTTTTATTTTATTTTGATAATTTGAAATAATTTAATATAAGAAAAAAGTAATACAGTGTGAACGTGGCATAGTTAGACAAGTATTAACACTTCAATGTAAATCTATAGATAGTGTTTAATTTAAAAAAAATTGTGGATTTTTCCAAAAGCAGAATGAACTTCTATTTTCTTATTTATATCCTGATTACAAGCTTTATAATATATAAGAATAATATATGAATAAATATTTAATACATTTTACAATTTCGACAGCCATTTGCACATAGAAGATAGATCGTCAGAACAAATTTTTATTTTTAATTTATAGTATATAAAATAAGCTTTAATTTAACATATGTTTAAAGGGTGCAGTAGTTTTCAATTCCCTGCTCACAGGGTCAGAATTTCAAAAAAGTTACAAAAAACATCATAGTTAAATTAATATCTTCTCAGTTTCGCATCGTAGCTAAAATTCACTGAAATATTTTATTTACTATATTACAATTACATGTATTTCTTTTAGTGAGAAAATTATAAATATATGCCAATATAAACCTTTCATTTATATTATATTTTAAAAGAAATTTTTTATTATATTTACAGGTCTGACAACAATTTAATGGCAACACTACTTAACAACAAAACAGAACATCTAGTCGTCAAAGTCAGACCTCTGTATATGTGAACAGTAGACTCTGAACTCTTAAGGTTTTCATTTCCTTCTGTGTACATATGCTATTTTTATTTTTAATTTTAAATGGTACATTTTTCTTTTCATAGTACTATTTTTAAACTAATCATTCGTTGAAAAATAAAACGAAACCAAAAAATATGACATTTCAGACTCATTTATTAACACATATATATTTATAAATAAATTAGTATTAAACTAAAATTAATAGAAATAATAAAAAAAACAAAGATGATCAGTAATTTAGATATTTACCTTGACTGGTTTTTTTTATTCATAAATATTGCATTTTGATCAACAATTTTTTTCTTAATTTTTTATTTTTACAAACTCAAATGGCTGTTAAAAATGTACAATAAATCTACAAGAAAATTACATTTAAAAGTTCTTAAGTACATAAATATTTCAAGAATAAAATAACTAGCCATAATATAATTTTCTTTTTAAATAATATTAGTGAGACATAATTACTTATTGAATTATTTTTATTTATTTTTAAACTATGAATTTTTAACTATAGAGGACTATATATATAAATATATATTTATATATATTTGTATATATCAAAAATATATTTTTATTATATTAATACTTACAAATATGTTTGATTTTTCTATTCTATATTCATCATATTAATATTTTAATTTTTTTATAATTTATATTTAAGGTATGAATATTACGATTTTTAATTATTTACAGCCGTATTATTTAGTTGTCACTGTAATTTGTGTGTTTTATTGTTGTGACATTATTTTTATTGGTTTTATATACTTACAAGATTAGAATAGTTTTACAATATGGGTGATATATAGAATTAGAGTATTTGTTGAACATATTATTTTTAAGTTTTTATTTTCATTATAATTGTCACTATTAGTTATAACTTTTATTTTTACTGATTGATTACAAATTCAGAATAAAGTATAAATTAACTATATAAATAAGTATAACTAACACTAAACTAACATAACCTTTATGAAATATTATTTTATTACTATTATCCTTTTTACTATTTAGCTTTTAATGGTTGTGGGGTAAAATACACCTGTAGTACATAAAATATTAAAGAATGACAGTATTTAATTAGTTAAAAAATTTTAAATATTAAATTGAAATATTTGAGTTACTATTTTATATTTACGGTAAAGGGATAATTTAAATCTTTATATAAATATAAACTATAATTAACTATACTATATTAAATCAATATAAATTAAATATAAATAAAATATATATTCACGAAAAAATTCTTAGATATTAGTATTTTTCCACAAATAATAGATAGTTATATAAATATGTTATAATCAATCTTGATCATTGCTTAGTACAAAAATTACTCAATTGAATATTAATAATCATAATTACTTATTTTTTTACTGTCATTGTATTTATTATATTAGTAATAATTATTTAAAAAAAAGTCATTTTAATATTTTTGTTATTCCTCAACATTATGATACACCTTTATAAAATTAAACTTGATAATAATTTTTTGATATATGTATAATTATTAAAGTTGTTCTTACATCTTGCATTAAAATAAGTTTGGCATTTAAAAAATAATTTTAGAACAAATTGTTACACTACATTTTATTACAAAAAGGAGCTTTCTCTATGATTTTTTTATTTAAATTATCCATAACTATGTTCTACACAGTTTTATTGTGGGAAAAATGTCAAAAATTCCTTTATATGTGTGTAGTAAAATTTTTTTTAGAAACTAGTTGATTTGTTTAAATTGTATTTTTTTTTATATAAAAAAAAATATATTACCTATTAAAAAAAATGAAAATTAAAAGTGTCTTATAGGAGAACTATATACAATAGTGCCATAGAATATAAACATATAGATCCAAAAATATAACTCATCTAGTTAAATTTTATTTAAATATAATTAAAACTAAACACAAAAATCTTAATTTTTCATTATAAAATGAATTTCTTCTATAAATAAATAAATAACTGTTTAAACAACTCTGTATATTTTGGAACAAACATTAAACTAAATATAATATTATGAGTTCATTTACAGTCTATAATTTTAAATAATAGCTAAGATTAATATTTTGTACTTTTACATTTTCACGTCATTTAAATGATGTGTAAAGTGATTATTTTTCAATGTTTAACAAGATTTTGCTTAACTTTTTATTATTATGTTTATTGAATAATAAAATTATGTAGTAACAATCATTAAACTATTGTCCATAATCTTAGCATTAATATTTAGTTAGATTTTAGGTAACTTTTCATTATTGTATCTTACAGGGAATTAAAATAATTTTATATGTGAATTTAAATATTATTAATAAACAATTTTTCATAGTTTTACGAAAAAAGTGCTTATTTTAAAAATAAATTATAATTTCAGACTAAAATTAAATATTAGTGAGAGTAAAATATATATTTAATAATATTTATACATTTATTATTGTAGTAATAACATAATTTATTGTTTTATAATTATATTAGTTTTTAATTATTTGAATAATTTAATATTCAATGAACTTTTAAGTTCTTTAATCAGAAAAACTTAATGATTTTTCCTTTAAAATTTTGATGAGTGAAACTGTTTTTACTTTTCTTTGCATACATTTTTTATGTAAGAAATTTTTCAAGTGATATACCTCGTAAAAAATTGTTTAATATTTTATGCTATTTAAATACAGTCAAATGTATTTGATGTCATAATTGAATTCATAATTTGAATAATGACTTATATTTTCAATTTTTAACTATAGTCATTAAAAAAATTGTCTTGTATAATAATTATTAAACTATTTAATCATCTTTTGTTACGCATTTATAAGTATTACTTGGTAAATGTGTAAGAATATGTATGATTTTTAAACATTTACATGTATATTTAAAGTTTAATGATACTAAAAAGGTACATAATGCTGAATTATATTAGCCTATAGAATTTTGTTTGTTAATGTAACATTAAATGACAATTATTTAAACATTAGTATAATTGTTAACATAAAACTTATTATTTGTTTGAAAAATGTTACATATATCCAATTTGTAGTTATTTATAATAATCATAATAATAATAAATGCTTTCAATGGATAAAATATCAAACCAAATGTTTTTTGCTGTATAACATTTCCGAAGTATATAAATTATGCTTTTTAATTTATTTATTTCCTGAACAATATTTTTCATTTTTATACAACTTCTATTTAACTTTTTTCATAGTATTAAACCAATGTATATCGTGATAATTATTATGAAAGTATATTTATGCTATGATTCTAATGTGTGAAATGCTATTAATTATATTTTATTATGTCTTTTTCTTTAGACCAAAATTGTATTTATAATTTATGTATTATATAAGTTAATTATTATCTGCTCAGTACAAGGAAATAAATAGGGTTTATATGAGCATGAACTGTAGTTATATAAAGGAACAATTGAACATTATTTAAATGTATAGTTTTCATGAAATCTATACCTTATTCATATTATGGACTGATAAAAATGTGGCGGTTCATTTAAATTATTATTATTTTTTTAATTTTTAAGATATACATCGAATACAATCAATTAGAAATTACATAAATTTCAAAAACATTAATTTCACAATTGTTTTGGATAAAAACAAAACAACTCTGATGTATAACTACTGTGATATTTGTTGTTAAATGTTAAGTAAATTTTTACCTCAGTTGGTTTTAATTATCACCCAGATAAAGTGTATAAGACTGTATACATTTATACTTTTTTAATAAATCAATTTTTTAATACATATTTAATTTGTATGTTTTCATTTATTATCTGGCACTAAAGTGATTGTATTCTTTTTTCAATTGTTCGTTTTTTATTTTTTGATGTATGAATAATGATAGATAATTGTATTCAATGTAGTATAAAAATATTATAATACATTATTACTTCTAGGTTGACCTTATATTTGTACTGATTGATAATACATAAATTATTTACATATTTGTTTATGTATAGTTATAATATAAATTATTATAATCTTAATAGTTTTTAACTATCCACTGTGTCGCTTTCATATTATTTCTATGTATATTTTTTTATTATTACCATAAAATTATTGTATTCTAATAAAAATGATTGTCATCTGCATTAAGCTGGTGTTAGGGTAATAACCTATTGGAACAAAAATAATAAACATATAAAATATGCACTATATATGAGTTTTTATTATAACATTTTTACCCAATGCTAATGGTGATTGAAGGGAGTATGTATTGTACTTAGTACCAGATTCAGACTAAAACCTCATTTAGATATTTGCTTTTAACTCTCCTAAAATTCATCCTTAAATGCAACTAAGGGACTAAAAGATACCACCCCAGCCCTTATATATTTTATATAACTACCATGATAAAAAAAACATAATGTTGAAGAGTAAAGTATTGTAATTACCTTGAAGTGAATATATCAATAATCAAAAGTTGGTCCAAATATTTATTATTTGTTTAATTAGATGAAACCGCTGTGATTGCTTGGTTGCTCGTTTAGTCTATTCGAGCCCTAATAATAAACTCACGGGATCTATAAGTTGTGCCAAGATTCAGGTTATAGCAGAACCAGCTTTTATTAGTAAAATTTAAAAATATATGTATAAAACTTCATACATCAAAATTGGAGTCTTGTTGAAGTTTTAAGTACAATTTATTTTATACGGTTCCTATTTATATCTTTACTTAGTTTAAAAATATTAGTACATGACATTTTGTTTTTTTTCAATTAGCCATAGAAACAATAAATTATCTTATTTTTAACACGCTTATATTAGTTTCACATGTATGTTGTAAGTTTGTAACTCCACGCGGCACGTGTTATTATGTCGCGTATGCCGTCGTCTATGACCTTGAGACTAGACCGTCGTAACGCATTCACCCCACCCCGCTCACCAGTCGGCGCCTTCACTATTTTTTTCTGTATAATTTTGAGTATTTGACTGACCAACACCGCGCGTTATACGCCGCGGTGCAAAGTCCAGCAAGTGCCGCACGGCCGACGACGTACCGCCGCTAATGATACCGTAGTATTCTTCCTGTTGTCAAAGTGGCAACGTCAATAAACCGATCTCCACTCGCGCACCGTCGACATCAACGCTGCTAACCTTTTGACGCCCGAGGATCACGCCGGACATCGCGTCGTCGACGCCAACGAAAGTGCCACGATATTATGCGAAGATTATATATTCTTACCATCGCCGCTAATATTAATATATATATACATATATATATTATTATTTATATATACGTATATGTTAATATTCATTTATATATCCCTACAGCCGACGCCGCTGCCGCCATATATGCCTCGCGCCCCGCCCGCCAACAAAACACAGCTATACCTCGTGCATGATACGTTTACGTACTTAAGTCGCTTTACATGTATATATATATATATATTAATTACTATTAAAACTTATATATTAATACGCTTTATTCTCATTAAGAGATATATAGGGTATTTATTCCGATTACAAAGGATGATTCCCGTATCGTCATTTTACGTCACTACCTCCACGTTGCGCGCCTGCTGCTTTCCTTGGATGTGGTAGCCGTTTCTCAGACTCCCTCTCCGGAATCGAACCCTGATTCCCCTTTACCCGTTACAACCATGATATTGATAGTAACTACTATCATAACATGTAACTAAAAAGTGAAAAATAAATATAGTTTAAAAAAACTAAAAAACACGCTTTTAAAGAACATCGAACTAAAAAGTTAAAAATAATTTTTAAAATAAGCGTAAAACAATAATGAACGAAAAGTACTAGTATTATTGTGATAAAAGCGTGGGTGCTTTGTGCTATATTTTTCGTATATTGAGCGCCCGACGCTTTTATCACAATAATACTAGTACTTTTCGTTCATTATTGTTTTACGCTTATTTTAAAAATTATTTTTAACTTTTTAGTTCGATGTTCTTTAAAAGCGTGTTTTTTAGTTTTTTTAAACTATATTTATTAACGGGCATATAATAGTTTCACATATATGTTGTGTTTGCTGTTTGTAACTCCACGGGACACTTGTTATCGCGTATCCCGTCGTCTATGGCCTTGAGACTAGACTATATATATACGTATATGTTAATACCCATTTATATATTCCTACCGCCGTAAATGCCTCACGTATAGCGTTCCCCCCGCGCACCGCCCGCTCATTAAATACGGCTATACCTCATGTATGATACATTTTTTCGTACTCAAGTCACTTCACTATTTATATATACGTATATGTTAATATTCATTTATATATTCCTACCGCCGTATATTCCTCACGTATAATAATAATAATATGCCCGTACTACTGTTATTTTTAACACGCTTATATTAGTTTCACCTGTATGTTTGTAACTCTCCACGCGCCACGTGTTATTTCCGCGTACCCGTCATGAGACTTAGACTGTCGTAACGCATTCATCCCACCCCACGCCATACTATTCCTGTATAAATTTATTTTTGGTTATCGTATCCCCGTATACGTGTGCATGTCATCAATATTATATATATATATATATATATAAACAAATTTTTATTGTTTATTACTAGAGATAAACATTTAAAGATTTAAATTTTTTTGAGTTAATATAGATGGATAATACATAAGGGAGTACAAGTACAGGGAGCTAAATGGTTTTTTATGATGATATTAGCAAGCAAATAGCCTTTATTATCAATGGTAATAAGATACATTGTTGTGAGTTTTTAAACACACTAACTGGCAATACAGAAATTATATCTATTGATAGTCATAATTTACAATAAACACTCCGTGACTGTGACAGCGATGTTATAAAAACTAAAAATTAAAAAATATAGTTTAAAAAGACTGAAAAACACGCTTTTAAAGCATATCGAAATAAAAAGTTAAAAATAATTTTAAATTAAGCTTAAAACAATAATGAACGAAAAATACTAATATTATTGTTTTAAGCTTATTTTTAAAATTATTTTTAACTTTTAGTTTGATATGCTTTAAAAGCGTGTTTTTTTAAACTATATTATAAATAAGCTAAATTTACACTCTAGTTATACAATTATTAAAAGATTATTATACTGAAGTCAAGTTTAATCTATATTAATTAATTTAAGAGTTCTTTAAACACAAACAACAAAAATACACTTACACATTTATTCACAACAAAGATCACTGGTTTTGTGCAGGCGAACCCTTCCACCTCCTGTGACTATTTACACAACACAGTTTGATAGGTATTAAGTGCTTTTAGCCGGTTCGGGTACGCACTATAATATTTAGTGCCCCTGTTCTTAACAATATTTTAACCAAAAACATACATATCGAGCTATTTATGTAATAAAATTTAGTTTAAAAAAACTAAAAAACACGTTTTTATAACATATGAAACTAAAAAGTGAAAAATAAATATAGTTTAAAAAGATTAAAGAAACACGCTTTTAAAGCACATCGAACTAGAAAGTTAAAAATAATTTTTAAAATAATAATGAACGAAAAATACTAGTAATTTTGTGAAAAGAAGCGTCGGGCGCTCAATATACGAAAAATATGGCACAAATCGCCCACGCTTTTTTTCGCAATATTACTAGTATTTTTCGTTCATTATTATTTTAAAAATTTTTCTTAATTTTCTAGTTCGATGTGCTTTAAAAGCGTGTTTTTTTAGTCTTTTTAAACTATATTTTTATTAATTGGTAGTATTGCGTATATAATGTGAATTATTGTAGTAGCAAATAAGTAATGCCATGATTCAAAATGACACTTTATTATTGAATTGTTCAAAACATAACATAATTTTAAGAAAAAAAAAGGATAATAATTTAACATGGATCAATTATTTTACATAAAAAAAAAAATTAAAAAAACCACTGTTACTTCAAAATATATATTTATTTTGTTGATTTCGAAATAAATTATTAATTTAGTATAAAACGAAACTTCAAAATGTTTAAACGCAGTTAATCATCTTCAATGAGTTTCTCATGGAGATCAGCTAGAACCTGAAATTGGTTCATTGAAATTAAATTTTATAATTATAGATAATTTTGTTATTAGCTTCAATAAGTTATTAATAAGTTTGCCGTCCCCAAGTAGTTGGGATTAAGGCGAGGAAGAAGAAGAAGAAGCTTCAATAAGTTATTAAGAATCTATTTTTCTAATTTGACGTGTTTTTTTTATCCGGGGTACTCGATTATTCCCGCACTTACTAGACCAAATTTGGACAACAATACGTCAAAAAATCACAAAACGTATCTAGTTGAAGCTACCAGCGCCATAATATTAAAACATTTCCCTCAATCCCCGTAATAAAGAGAAATGTCCCAAAAAATTTAATTTGTCATAAAGCAGTCAATGTTATATATTTTTAGTTTTAATTTTATATTGAAATAACTCGAAAACTGGATGAATTATTTCGAATTTTGTATTGATATTACTTCAAACATTAGCCTTGTTGAAGAAACATATATATTTTTTTGAAAATCCAATCATTAACTAAGGTTCTGTGGGGACTTAAAAATCATTTGTTTTTCAATTTTTTGTAATGTTCTAAAAATCCTACCTTCTTTAAACCAATATCAAATTAAAGCTAATATAATGTACTTGATGAAAAATTATACGAAATCACGATATAGATGTTATGAGGCATTAAAGCCAAAAATCATATATTTTTTGATAAAATTCGCATATTGTGAAGATTTTTGCATAGCAAAGGGTCATCTATACCATTCAATGATATAACAAATTAAAAAAATGTTATGTACTGTACGATTTAATAAAATAAAAACATTTCCAACGAGTTGTATTCTATGAGTAATCGACCTCTCAAGTTGATGATCGTATAATTTTTAGTGGACATGATAAACCGGTCTAACTGTTAATAATGATTTGATCAAAATAAATTTTTCAGTGGTAATATTTTAGACAAGTACTTTATTTTCTACTTTTTTTTTTGAAAATACGATTATTAACTAAGGTTCTGTGGAGGCTTAAAAATGATATCACAATTATTTTCAAAAAATGGATCCTAAAAAGGATTAAGTTTTGTAAGTAACTGTATAGGTACTGATGATAATTTAAATACTAAATATATTTACATTTTATTATTTATTTATTTAATACAGTACTTAATTGATCATTAGGTTGACTTACTTTAAAATATTTTACAGTTTTTACTTTAAGTTCTAATGTAGCATCCTCATCACATAGAATAAGGGTATTTGCATGCTGTTGGAATGCTGATACTGTCCACATGTGATTTATTCCTTCCTCGACTGCTTTATGTAAAGCTAAAGCTTTGTGCGATCCTGTAATCAACACTAATACCTATGATAACATAACTCTGGTTAGTGAAGAAGAAAATGAATATGGTATATTTCATAAATATAAACAAAATTAAAAAATGTATACTATGTGAGAATATTGCCAAATTTGTGAACAATTTAAATTATCAATAATTGGTCATAATTTCTGATAAAAACACGTCAGAGTTTAAAAACAATTTTCATTTCTGAAGTCTCATTTGTGAATTTATTATTTTTGCTTTCCCGCTAAATTTTTACGCTGTTATACTTCAGTTCAAGGGTGTTTAGCACCTTCGAATTATAGATTAATTTATTTATTTACACTTTTTTCTAGACGACAAGTCAAAATAATAGTTATATAAAAATGTTTAAGGTTTTAGTGGCCTATTTTAACAATTTTTAACACCCTCAAGATTATGTGAAATGTACGGATGTGATTAACACCCTTAAGATATATATTTTTTTAATTTATCAATTTATTTATAAAATTCGGAAGTCTTACCCCTTGTTAATCAATTTTATTTAATGTTTAAAAATGAAAAATATTTATTTAGAATATAGTAACTAACAGTTTCGGCATCCATGACAGTACCCACACCGACTGTCAAAGCTTGTTTAGGAACTTTGCTAATATCATTTTCAAAGAATCGGGCATTTGCTTCTAGTGTATCTTGAGTTAATGTTTTAATGCGAGTTCGTGATACTAGTGATGATCCTGGTTCATTAAATGCTATATGACCATCTGGACCAATGCCTAATTGAATTGTAATTGAAATTTTTAACACAATAATAGTATTTTTTTTCTTTATTATAAATAATTAGGCTTGTTTAATACTAACCACCTATGAATAAATTAATTCCACCAGCTTCTTTAATAAGCTGTTCATAAGTTTCACATTCTGCTTGTAGATTAGCAGCGTTTCCGTTTAACAGATGTACATTTTTGGGATCTATATCGATATGAATGAAGAAATTTGACATCATATAATAATGATAACTCTCTGGGTGATTTCGTGGCAGTGCTAATTCAGAATTAGAAATAAAATATTTTAAATTAATTAAACTTTTACACAAAAATAATAAACATGATATTTATTTAATAATATCCAAATTGTATTATTTAAATGGATGATCATTTCATGCCTTGAACTACATACTTAATAAATAATTTTAGGACCTTGACGATGAAATGTGATGAAAATTTAAAAAAAAATATTTAACTCACCGACGTATTCATCCATGTTAAAAGTTTTGACATATTTAAATGAAACTTTTTCTTCTTTATAATATTTTATGAGATATTTGTACATGCCTAATGGCGTCCCGCCTAGATTATTTTTAAAAATTAATTTTTTTATTTTATCAATATGCGAATTCAATAAAATTACTAACAGTAAATTTAAAACAATAAAACATTTTACTAATAATTGTATAAATTGTACTCACCTGTTGGTAATCCCAAGATGAAATATCGATCTGGTCCTGGTTTATAGTCTTTAATTCTCTTAACTACATACTTAGCAGCCCATTCTGACACTTTATCAGAATTTTCCTTTATTATCATTCTCATTTTGACCAAAACAGAATTTATAATTATAATTCTATGAACATTTATAAGTATTGTTTATTTTTAAACATTTTTAACGATTTATTAAACTAATGTCCTTTGTCTTTGAGGAGTAATTAAATTTTAAATGAGGCAGTTGTGTGATATATTTTTTTCTGCAATTACAACGTCATTGTTTAAATAAAAAAAAATTGGAATGTAGGTATGTATGTTTTTAGTGCAGATGATGGTAACATAATTCCGAAATACGTATTTGAGTTAAATATTTTAAAATTTTGTTAGTTTTAAATTAATATTATAAATATATTTTTAATTTTAAATAACTTTTAGTTATTCAGGTTTATTTTTAAGATGTCCATATAATTCCTATTAGATCCTTAATACATTTGCATAATATGACAGTTGTAAAAGATAAAAAACGAAAGATTAATTTATTATATTAGTTAGAATATTTACTTAGATAAATAATTACGATCATGATCAACAATACATTATGAATTGTTTTAAGTACATTACATTTTTTAACATATCATAGTTTTACTATTAGATATTTATTTGATTACCTGTTTTACTTAATTAACTTATACTTAAAATATGGTACTCATTATATTATTGATCAAATATCTTTCAGATTATCAAATTTTTAATTTTAGAGTATTAAATAATTGTTAAAAATTAAATATCGACGAAAAATGATGAGAAACTGGAAGTTAAGCTGATCATATAACTCAGAAAATACATTCCAATTTGCTAATTTACGATGTAAAATTAAAATTAATGGTAATAGTACATAATGAAATAAATATAGTATACTATGTTTATAGTTTACAAAATAATAGAGACGAAGTAGAATATTTAAGTAATTATTGTAATTATTTTAATTGTTGTATTTTTTCGACTCGAGCTAAAGTCCATTTCAATTAATACAGTTAATAAATTACACCTATGATTTATTTAAATATGATAAATAACATCAGGGAGTTACTAATTTTTTATTACTGTTAAAAAAATAGGTATAATAAATACGTAAAATATCTTTGTTGTATTTTGTATTTTACAAAAAGCTCATCTCAAATTAAATATAAATCAATACTAATATTGCTAGAAAAAACTTCAGTACATAATATTTTTCAAGGTTGAGTGAATTAATCATTTTTTCTAACTTGTAAATATATTATTGGTGTTTAAGACAGTCCATACCTTCACTTAGGGTACAAAGTATATAAATGTTTTAATTATTTTAGATCATTAGACTAATTTGGTTGAATTTTCTCGCTTATTTTTATAGCAGGTATTATCAACCACTTAACAGTTTTGAAAATTAAGACTATAATATGCCGACGGATAACGCGTAGTGGGAATGGTGATCTCGCTTGGAGTGCTAGCGGAGCTGGAGATCTGAGTTCGATTCCCAGTCGGCTGACATTTTTTTTCCTCAGATTCCAAGTTTCTAACAAGGGTAAAAATTTTACTGCTTTTTAACGTGACAAAATGAGTTTTTTTTTTTTTTAATGTACCGACTTATGGATAAATTCATAATTTAATCAATTAATTAAATTTTTTTTGTTTTATAGAAATGTCGTTTAATTCCGAAGGATTTTTAAAAATAATTTTTTAAACTGAGTAGAAAATAAAATATATTCTTTATAATTATTCTCGTTGAATGTCAATATTTTTATTATTTTGTGGAAATGGTGATATTTTAAAATTATTTTGAAAGATAACATCATTTAAGTTAATTTTGTTATTGTTAATTAAAACTTAATTATCTTAAGTTTAATACCTTCACATGTGTTACAATTTATACATTTTTTACATTATTTTAAAATTAATGATGTGCCCGTACAAATCAAGAAATTTTGTAAAAAGAATAACTTTTAATATTTTAATTTTTAAAAATGAATTTTCTTGCTTATTCAACAGAGGATGTTGTCATCATTTAAGAGGCCCATGAACACGCAGGCTGTCGGATAGCTTAGCGGAAAAGGTATTGCTCGGTCAACGAAAGATTCCAGTTCGATTCCCAATAGGCTGACATTTTTCTAAGTTTCCAAGTTTCTAACAAGTTACTTATTAAGTTAAAGTTACTCGACGAGAGGTTCATACTAAGTTACTAGTTAAATTAGTTAAAAAAAACAAATAGTTAAGATGATAAGTTAAAGTCACTTAACTTTATACGTGTTAGTGATATTTAAAAAGGTCTTCTTCTTCTTTTTCCTGGTCTTTATACCAACTACTTGGGGTCGGTCATCCTTATTTTAAACTTCAACTTGACACGATATTTAAAAATGTGATACGATTAATTCTCATTTACAAAATTTATTATCACTTGCGAATTATCGATATTTTCTTTTGAATAGATTTTAAATAATTTGATATTATAATTTAATTTTCGATATTATTATGCGTACATTTTATTTCGATACATTCATAAATATAGAGCCGACTTAAAAAATTTAAAACTCTAAAGATTTTAATCGAAAAAATATTGTAAAATTAAACTTTTTATATCTAAAGAAGCAGAGTTTTATTTTCAAGCATTTTTTATTTTCAAGTTTACTATTTAAGTTGTTTAAATAAACCTTTCAAATTATTTAAATGTCTAAAAGTTAATCAGAATTTATTTGATATAAATTCTGTATTTTTCCTAAATAATGCATTAAATTTAGCTTTGTATTAAACCAAATAAATCAATATTATTAACAAAAAACAAATAATAAGTGTTATTATTATTAAAATATTTTAGTAAAATTATAATTTTTGAAAGAAAAAAAAAAATTTAAATTTGCTCTTACCTGTAATGTTTGTTATGAAAATTATACAAACAAAAAAATCGTTTTAAATCTATATGTCCATAAAATACGTGTGTCAATAAAGGCGGGCGTGCCACTACTAGTACACAGATAAACTACTATTAACTAATACTCATAATTTGTTAGGTTTGTAGAGAAGTATACATTTCTAATTATCACTGTTTATGCTACTATGTAATAGGAGTTTGACCGATAAGGTTGTTTATATTTTGCTCGAGTTTTTACTAACTTCTTTAATTTGAACTTTAAACTACTTCATAATCGTGTTATTGTACTTTGTTAAGATGTTTTTAACAAAGCATTACTATAAATTTTTAAAACAACGGAGATAGTAAACTAAAGATAAAATAGTAATGGTCAATTATGAAAATTACTTAGAGTCAAATCTTTGAGCCTAAAGTGTATTTTCTATTAATGATTTAAAAATAAATAATAAAATAGATTATACAAATGTTTAAACTATGAAAATAATAAGCAAACGCATGTAATTTTTTTTAAGAAACGAATAACTCGAAATAAAAGAAATTTAGGATACACATTACATTTTCTCAGTTTGATCTTGTTAGTTTCAGTAAATAAATTAGCCCCCTAAAAACCAGTGGGGTCATTCGATTAAGTGTAAGGTGTGTGACATATAAGAAAGTGCTAGGGAAGGGGGCTTAGTCCCCCTCTAAAAAAATCACCTTAGGTTTCATTCTGTTCTGTATATTAAATCTATTTTTTAACACGCTTTTATTAGCTTTTCTTGTATGTTTGTAACTCTCCTTTGGACTAAGAGCAAGTGGTTTATTACTATTAATATATCCCACCACTTTAAATGCGTTCTTTGGCCGAGCGGCTAAGGCGCGGGTGCTCGCTGACGTTTAACCGCTGGATTCGCCGGTTGTGGGTTCTAATCCCGTTCATGGCCGAAAATAAATATTTGTTTTAATAAAAAAGGCTTTCATAGCATATGAAACTATAAAGTGAAAATTTAAAAATAAAAAGGGGGATTAAAATCACTATCATAAAAAATGCTTCGATGCAAATCTTTAGATAGTGTTTAATTTAAAAAAAATGGCGAATTTTCCAAAAGCGACATGATCTACTATTTCCTTATTTATATTCTGATTACAAGTTTTATGATTTATAAGTGTAATATATTTATAAAGGTAAATGGTGTTGTTTAAAAAAAAACTATGTCGAATGAAAGAAGGATATAAATATTATTTCTCCTTAAAAATTTGTATTGATCAAAGAAAAAGAATTTTCACACAAAAATGGCATTCGATAGCCATTTTCACCGTGAAGACCAAATAAAGTCGGAAATATTTTTTTCCATGATAAAGTATATTACATTACCTTTAATTTAAGATATATATATATATAAAAGTGTCAGACTTTCCGGAACACTTTCCAAAGTTAAGTTGAAAAAGTTAATTTGTTGTGAAAAATTTGTCATTTTAAATTCCCCACTGTCTGCGCAGGTTATGTGTCAAATTTATAAAAAAAATATACCAAATGATAGGTAAAGACATAATGCATCTATAAAAGAAAAAATTATATTGATTTGATTATTTTTAAAAAAGTTATGACAGTTTTAAGTAAAAAAAAATTGAAAAAATGTCGAAAATTAGCGATTTTTAAATTTGTCATTATTTTGGAGATATCCCTCTTTTACGGGGAACGAGGGAAATTTTTTCAATTTTTGAGGGTAATGTCTTTGACTAGATACGATTTGTGATCTTTTGACGTATCGTCGAAAGAAAGCAGTTTGGTGAGAGCTGAGAAAAAGTGGTATAAGACACAAAAAAAAAAAACATCATGGTAAAACCAATACCTTTTCAGCTTCGCATCGAAGCTAATACTATCAATTATTACAATTATAAAAAATTTTGCAGCCAACTATGATTCAGATGTCGTTAATAATGTTCATTTGTTATTTGTAGCTGTAAATAAAGCAAACTTAAATAAATAACTGTTGTTATAAAATAATTTAATGAATATAAATTGTGTAATACTATTTAATTTTTTGTAACTAAAGTCTTAATTAACAACTAATTCTAAAGTAATGGAAAATCAAAAAAAATTCAAGCTCAACCTAGTGATTTAATAAATATAAATTCAGGCACTGCTAGACCGAAATTATTAGTAAGTCATAATTAGTGTTATAGCGTGTAATTCTTTTTATTAACTATGTTTATTAATTTATAAATCGGCATGGCCTAGTGGGTAGAAACGTATGTTTCAGCGCACAGGGTTCGGGTTCGATTCTCAGGGTGTTAAAGAAATTTTTTTTGTGATTTTCTCATTGGTGGTGTCTTCTCTGGTGCAAGCCGGCTATAATACCTATTCCGTCCATCATTGGCCTAGCCAAGAACCATCTTTGGCTCCCTAACATGTGAGAGTTGGCCACTACCTTTGTAGCATGTTCAGTTCAGGAAATAGAATGTAAAACTAATTATTATTATTTTTTTTTATCAATATTACGTTAAATTTAGTTCCAAAATTAAAAAATAGTGAAAATTTCAACAAACACATTAGAAATTACGTATATGCACATTATGTTTACAAAAAAATATATTAGTAAAAAATTTATACCGTGTGATAAATATAATTTTTTATTTAATTAGCTTTTAGCAAAATAAAATAATCGAAAGAAAATGTTTTGGAAAGTTACCCTTCAATTACGAAATTCCAACCTTTTTTTTTAATATTGTCTTAATTGTATATTCGGAGCATTATCAGTTCATAGCAATATTTATAACAGAGTTAGTATATTATCTTATTTATGATAACGGTGATAATATTGTGTACGTATCGCTGACGAGGAGACTGTTGTTAGTTTGGTGATATTGAGTCAAATTCATGAGTCAACATTTTAGTTGTCATTAACTTTTGTATTTAAAATTGTATAAACGACTTTTTTTTAAGATGTCTGTGAATGTATCTAAAGAGTTAGAGAATGATTATTTCATGACTAAAGAATTGTTAATATCACTTTTAGTGATATTTATTTCATTAGGTAAGTATTCATTGACTAGAGTTACTTATTCAAATGTTTAGATAGTTATTTAACAAAAATTAATTTCAGTATTAATTTTTTTATGGAGAAAAAGTAGTAAAAGTTATCGTGATGTATTACTTGTTGGCTTGTGTGATTCTGGTAAGACTACATTGTATTCTTATTTATTGTTTAACAAATCGGTACAAACATTTACATCACAAATTGAAAACATCGGAGAATACAAAAACAAAAAAGTATGTATATATTTGGTTTTTCAATGCGACATATTAATGTTATTTTATGTAATTTATTGTCATATTTAGAATTCTTTCCGTGTGGTAGATATTCCTGGACATGAGCGAGTATTTGGAAAATTTTGGGATTTATATAAAAGTGGATGTAAAGGAATTATTTTTGTAATTGACTCTGAAACAGTACAAACTTCATTATGTGATGTTGCAGAGTTAGTAAATATTTATATGTTAAAAATAGTTTTGGTTATTTAATAATTTAAGTATGCATTTTTTTATAGTTTGTTATATAGAGTTATTACTGATGATATTATTCAATCAAACAAAAGCAGAATTTTAATACTTTGTAATAAACAAGACAAGCTCATGTCTAAAGGTTCAGAAGCTATTAAAATTTTACTTGAAAAAGAATTGTATGTATTGTAATTTAGTTTAAGTAAATTAAATCATACAAGTTCTATTTAAATATTAAATTGAATTTGATTTTAGGGATACACTTAGAATTACTAAAGCTAATCAATTAGAAAGTATAGATGGTAAAATTAGCAAAACTATGCTTGGAAAAAAGAAAAAGAGTTTTGAGTTCTCACATTGTCTTAATACTATTGAGTTTGGTGAATCAGTTACATTTTCTCAAGACCATGTCATTGAATCTGTCAAAAATTGGCTTGAAAAAATTCATTAGTTATAGTGAACATGATTATAATATTTTTAATTTGTATCTTTATTAAATATGTATAAAGTGATATAAATTGTAAGAGTTACATTTAGTTTGAAAGAACTATTTAAACTATAATAAGATTTTTTTTATATTTGTGTTGGCTTAAATTCATGTTGTTTAAAATATTCGGAAAGATGTTTATTTTTAGTCTTTGCTATGAGAGTCATTAATTATAAAAATAATAATTAAAAATATTGAGTGTAGTAATTACAATGACTGCAGTAAATAATAAAATGTCTCCTGAAATTGAACATAAGCTTTATGAATCAAAACATAGATTTATTACTCTTGCTGAAGAGATCAAATCAAATGTTCTAATTGCTGTAAGATTTTTAATTGTATATTTTTTAATATAAATGAATAAAATTCAAGCTTTATAAAATAACACTTTAATAGTTATCTCATTGAACATCTTATTTTATTAAAAGAAATTATTTTTGTGTTTAATTTACTTTTTAGTTCAAATTTATATACTAAACAGTATTTTTTGTAAATTCAATTAAAGATCTTTAAAGTTTTCAAAAAAATATGTTCTGTATATTCTTAAATTAATAAAACTAGATGTTAAAATTTCATCCAGTAAAAGTTTAAGGTAATCTATTTGATTGTATCTTTAACCCTCAGTTTCTTATCAACTGGCTATTGGTTTAAAATAATTTTTTTAGTCCCACTTTGAGAAAATGCATTATTCCTTTATTATAATTAATATTAAATTGTTTAGTGATCAATCCAAAATGAATGAAAAAATAGTTTTTTAATTTTGATTGTAGATTACTTTTAGTAAACTATTCTACAATTACATTTTATTTAATATATCATTAGATTAAAATAATACTGATCAAATGTGCAATTTGATTCATATTTTTATTAGTTTATTACACTTCATATTTACAGTAGTAATGCTATATTTATTGTTTTTGTTATCTATATGAGATTTCAGATCAAGTAAAAAATTCATTAAATAGTTAGACTTATTGAAATTAAATACTATTTCATTTATAATGAAAAAATTTCTTATCACTAGTGATAACATATATTTGATATAATCAGAAATATTTTAAAGGAAACGATAAATAATTATTATTAAAACGCGTTAATATAAATAATTTTTAGCTTCGATGCGAATCTGAGAAGGTATTAATTTTACTATGATGTGTTTTTTTTTTTTTATATCTGTTGCCACTTTTTCTCAGCTCTCACTGGACCGATTTCTTTTAAAAGTACGTCAAAAGATCACAAATCGTATCTAGTTGGAGACATTACCCTTAAAAATTGAAAAAAATTCCCTCGTTCCTCGCAAATGGGAGAAATATCCAAAAAAATTACAAATTTAAAAATCGGTAAATTTTGTAATTTTTTCACTTTTTTTTCTTAAAATTTCGATAACTTTTTGAAAAATGAACAAATAAAAATAATATTTTTTTGTATTGAAACCTTAAATATTTCCCTTTCATTTGATATAATTTTTTTTGAAAATCTAACACTTATTTTGCTCACTGGGGGGATTTAAAATAGCAATTTTTTACAAAAACTAACTTTTTCAACTTAATTTTTGAAAATGTTCCGGAATTATTGCGTCCTTTAAACATATATCAAATTAAAGCTTATTTTATGTTCTATAAAATGAAAAAAAAATTTTGTCCCGATACTTTATCTTCTATGCGCAAATGGCTACCGTATTCAAAAATATGCTATTTTAACAAATTTTTTTTTTTTAAATTAAACATTATCTACAGATTTGCATCGAAGCGTTTTTTATGATAGTGATTTTAATCACTGTCAGATATCATCTATACTGGACCCAACTATGCCACGACCCCACTGTGCTGGGTTTTTTTTATTAAATTATAGAATATATCTATTATGTTGTCAAATTATTTAATTTCAAATAGTAAAAAAACTAAACGTACATTGTTTTTTTAATGATATAGAGTTATTTTTTAATAAAATATATCAATTCCATTAAAAAAATATCAATGAACTAAGCATTGATATGTTTTTCCCAAGCCTACTTTTATATTATTTAGATTTCTAATTCGAATTTTAGAACGTTTTATATAATTATTATACATCATTTTCCGTTCGCAAACATAATAAGAGATTGATTTCTGAGTTAAGAATTTTATTGTTAATTATTATTTTTTGATCAGAATTTTAATACGTTGAGCGCTAACGACAACCGAGAACGAATATGTTTTGTCAACATAACATTTAAGATTTTAAATACTAAAAAAAATCTATTCATACATTCTCTAATTATAATTAATTAAAATTTATCTTGTTTAAAACTTGTTTCCATGTGCAATCTTTAAACTACCTGAGAGACCAGCTGTATAAAATTACTTACCCCGGGTTGTCCGATGTTGTATATTTTAATATAATATATATGTATAGTGTTCAGTAAGTAAGGAACAGAGTATCTATTGTTGCCATTGCTTGTAAAAATTGTTTTGTTACATTACCTTTTGAACACTCTGTATTTAACATTTATGAAAATAAAACTATGACTAAAACTACTTTTCACCCTTAAAATTTGAAAGAGTACTTTACGTAAAGTAATGCACATTCGATTTTAATATCTTTCAAATCAGGTTTCTTTTTTTTTATATTTAAATATATTGTTACTAATATTTGATTTTTATGTTGATTTTAGTTAAGTTTGCCAAATTATTTGCAAGAGTATTCTACAAATTATGATTATACCAAATATAAATCTATAGTGGACGTCTATACAAAAATAGAACAAAATTCTGAAACAACGTTAAATGAGCAAAAACAGTTTAACAGTTATTCTAATTTCGCTTTTTCAAATGAAGATACAATATTTGAGAAAAGCCATTTATATAACGAGTTTTACCATAATTTTTGTAAATCATTAAGAGCCGCAATCCAAGACGAAGTATTAGTGAAAATGTGTAAAAAACGATGTAATCAAAAGGTATATTACTCCATAGTAACTAAAACATTATTTTTTATATGCATACGTAAGACGAATTTTAAAAGAAACATCTTCTTAATAGGAAAACTTAAACACAAAAATATTATGTATAAATATTACTATCTATAAATAGATAAGAATTTTTTCGTTTAAAGTCTGAATGCTTAAAGTATCAATATTTAAGGTTAAAAGTAAAGAATAACTTCTTAGGAAAAGAATTTGTTTTGAAAAAAATAATGTACAAATCTATAATATAGATTTGTACATTAATTTTTCTTTTTTCTGACATTATATTATAATGTGGTGATAAGGTGAAAAAACTTTTTAAGTGACTAAAATTTCACCATTTAACCACGATTTTTCAAATACAAAAAAAAAGCTTGACAAAATTATGTTATTTTATCATTCAGAAATTTTACTTTATAATTAATTTTAAAAATAGTGTGTGATGTTTACTATTTTAGATTACAAAACAAGCAAAAGACATATCAGAAGCGATCAATACATTTTTAGAGCTAATTTGTAATAAAATAAACTTGAATTTTAGCGATGAGCGTATTCGTGAAAATGAACTAATTCTAAAATATAAGGAAAATGAAGCATTCAAAGTTCAGATAAATACTATACAACAACAAATTGATGAGGCCACCGAGGAATATAATAAAGTTAGTTCAGATGTAACAGAGAAGATAAACTATTATAAAGCTCAAGCGGAATCTGCTGTTAGATCACTTAAATCAAAACGTACCCGATTCGAGTAGGTTACATATGATCTTCTTTGATGATTATTCAATATTAACTCGACTTAACCAATTTAATCGTAAATAACAAATATTTACTTTTAAAATAATTATTAAATATTTTTCTAAATTATTAACCTGTTATAGAAGATTAAAGAATCACAGTAATAATTATTAATATTTCGACGTTTTTTTGTATTTAGAATGAATTATAAAAATGATATGATACTTTACCTAAAGTATTTTGAAAAAGATCTTGATGAACTAGAAGCAAAACTAGAAGCTAAAAAATCGCAGTTGAAATCTTCAGAGGTAAAAAATGAAATAGAAATCGATCATTTAAAGAAGGAAGTGTAAGTATTAAAGATTGTAATTAAAAGCTAAGGATTCTTAATTCGTATTTTCTTTAACGATTTCGATATCAATTTAAAGTTTTTTAAAATAAATGGTTTAATAAATTTGCCTTATTTGATTTATAATAAGTGAGAAAAAAGAAATACTACTACAGAACCAAAATGTCCGCTATGGTAATGATATGTTAAATCGATATAAAAAAAAGAAGTATCTTCAACAAAGTATTGAAAAGAAACAAAAATCATACGAGGAATTAAAAGTTACTAAATTTAATACACAAGATTTTTTACTAAGAATTATATTATATTATTTTATAATAGGTCGTTCAAAAAATAAGGAAACAAGTCAGTTGTTATAAACAATGAGAACAGTTAAAACCCTTTTCCTTACTTATTGAATAATCTATATAATAGATTGGTATAATTAATAATATTAATACAAACATTAGTCTTAAAAGATAAAAAAAAATTTTCCCAAAAAATCATTAAAGTGATATTTTTTTAAAATTTAAATTTAGCTTGTCTTGCTAATTTAAGCAATCGTAGATTATTTGTTTATTTTGAATTTATAATATAATTTATATAACAATTATCATTATTTACACAATTAAGTACCTATTATAATAATGTAATTGATAGGAAAAGGTGGCTTGGAGTGAAACGTATCTTGAACAACTAGATAAAGAAGAAAAAGCATATAATCAACGAGAATTTTATGACAAACTAGATGCTATTAAGGAGAAAATAGCATTACGAAAAATAACGAAATTTTTAACACCATACATAATTGCTAGATTTGGAGTTAGAAAAAAACAGAAGAGTAGCGCACTAAAGAAAAAGAAGAAACAAAATAAATAGTATATTAAACGTTGCAAGTAATAATTTAGTTATTGCCAAAAATGTAATTAATAATTATTATATAAATAAATTTATAAACTTTGAATTTTTTTAAGGCATTTGATTTTATAAACATTAACTTATTCATTTCAATATTGAAGTTTATTAGTTTTAACAATTTAATTTAATTTTGGTTCTGTTCATTTTTATCCGAAAGTTTACAAATGTTAAAATTAAGAACTTTTTGTTCCATCCTTTCATTATTGCTTTAGATGTTCCTCGGGGAGTTCACTTCTCTCCATTATTATTTAATATATTTATAAATGATTTACGGGATATTGTTAAGAACTTAGATGTATTAATATTTGGTAATAATGATAAATTATTTAGGTTAGTCAACATTTACGAAAATATTCTATTGCAGAATGATTTATGATAATTTGCTAAAATGGCGTGAGTTAAACATGTGTGGTCTGAATATTTCGAAATGTAAAGACATGAGCTTTTATTTAAATTTAAGTCTTTATAAGTATAATTATTCCTTATCAAATATTAATCTAGAGCGCATTAAGTTATAAAAGTATATAGATAGGTATTATTTTTTGTTTGCAACATCAACTTTGCTTATCATACTGATTTTATAATAAACAAAGCTATGAAAAATTTAGATTTTGTTAAAAGAGTATAATTAATTTTATTGATCCTCACTCAATAAAAGTCCTATTTTGCTTTTCAGAGGGTGTTATAATTAGATTAATAATACTTTAAAACAAATGATATATTTGGAAAAATCAAAATAATTTTTGAGATTTCTTTCTTTTATGTTTAATATTACATGTTCGAGTTATAAACCTATTTTAAAATTTTAAGATTGAATGTTATTTAAATATAGAAGATATATAATTGTATTTATTTCTTAAAGTCATGTTGGAAAATTCAATTGATTGCTCTGAAATACTTAAGTTAGTTAATATTTATACTTTTATGAGTAGATTACAAAATTTTAATTTATTTAATTTGCCTTTTTCTAGGAAACTCTATGAAATTGTTTCACATTTAAATCTCTGAATGAAAGCAGAAAATGCGTTTGTTTTTTTAAATATTATTATTTATATTATTATAATTTTAATAATAATATAAATAAACTGATAGTGGGATAGCTTTCAATTATATTTCCGTTATTCTTATTCTTTATGTATTTTAACAGTTATAACTTTGTTCAAGGGTTTAAATTTAATCTCTTAAAAATATAACTTAAGTTATATAACACTGAGTGTGATGTTAAAAAAAATTTGAAATGTTCACTTAATAAGACTAGAAATTTTGTATAACCCTGAAATCTGTGTATACTAATAGACATAATTGTTTACGCCCAAATAAAAAAAAACAATTTTAGCGTTAAGAATAAATGCACGTGAACGCTCAGAGACGGACTAAAGCGAATACACGAAAAAGGGATCTGACAAAACACAATGGGCTGTGACAAACGATAGTATTGGCGGACCATTACAATACACAACAACCTATCCTGAAATTCTATTGTTACTGTCGACCGCCTAAACTTTCCACGCACACAGATTCTTCGCATTGCGCAAACGACGCCCTATCAGGTGGCGCTTCCTTAAAAATGATTTTGTACCCTAGTAACTTCAAATACAATCATTTTATAATGTAAATAAAATATCGTTATAGCTTTGTTGAAATGTTTTAATTCGTAAGTTTCAACATCAGATAAATTGTAATATTTGGTACATGCAGAGTTGAGATAAGTGAAACACTTTCACCCAAAGTCGTAGTTAAAAATGAGTATTTAGAAATAAATTATCTTATTTGTCCTACGCTTTTGAGATTGAAATCCGTCATTGCAATTACTTTAAAGTCAGTTAGGTTCGACTTATATTAAACGTAAAAATAAATAGATATATGAAAAACTGGTCTAGGTACTTAACACCTCCTCAATAAGTGTACACAATTGGTATTAATTCAAATATTAACTCTTAAGTATCAAAGTTGAATAACTTTGTTTAATTTGTGATTAAATGATAACATTTAAACATTTATATATACTGTCAGAAATGATCCGAAAATTTCCATGCGCCATTATGATATTTTTAATATACACGTTATGTGTATGCGTTAAAAATTACAATATATGTGTATAAAAATTGGATATTTTTAAAATTTTTAAGATGTGCTAGAGAAATCAAAAATTCGTTTAATCATAGAGCCTCCTTAGTTTATAAAACATAAATTCAATGAAGTAGGTTTGATTTTTATTTGATACCATTTAAAGCAATATAGTTTCAGAGTAGATGAAATTATTAATTATATATACAAATACTAGAAGTTATTTTGCAATAATAAATCTGTTATATAATTTAGAAATTCAAAATTTGAAGTTCAATAAATCCTTAATTATTCAATATCTAGACAAGTAACCATAATATGTTACAATTGATATAATAAAATCGCCAAAGAAAGTTTTTAAATATTTTTTAAATACTAGATGAAAGTTTTTTGTTCATTACTAACTATTTCTATTAAAGAAGTCTGTTGAAAAATAAATCTTAATATATTTGAGACTAATAAAAAAAAAAAAAATTAAATATCTTAGTTTAATTTTTTAGAAAATTTTCATCGAAAAAGAGATCTGTTCCAACTGCTTTTTAATGCTACATGGTAGATATCATTGCCGGTTGTTCGATTTAATATAATAATGTTCCATATAATTTATAAAACCACATAGATTCTCATAATATTTACATACAAAATTGTCAATGAGGGTTGATACTGATATATAGAATATCCTGCTGGGTCAACTACATTATACAGCTGGAAATCTATAATAACGACTTCCTATGTAAGTATAATTGCACGTGATGTAGCTAATATATAGGCTTTGTGATAACATTTGATTGAATAGGTCCAATTCGATTGACATTGAACGTTCTGTATACATAAAAACATAATACACTGTTATTTATGTAGTACATTATTTCATAGTGCAATCTTTTCATAGTGTTAGGTATATAGGAAAATCGATGGTTTTATACACCAAGGGTGGTTTCTAGCGTTTATAAATGTTGGGAGAAGACTAAAGGTAAATCTACGCAATGACAAGAGGATATCGTTAGTTTGGTATAGACAGTGGTGGGTATTTGTCTTAGGGAGGCTATCTTCATCAACAAGTCTATTGTCCATCCATAAATATAATCACAGAAGCTCAAAAGGGACGCTTTATCGCCAGCACTTCTAGGTATGGCAGCTATAGGGGCGAGGGCAATTTTCATCCTATTGTCTAATTGTGACCACAGTCAAAACCTCATATCTGAATGAATAATAGGTATACATAAATGAATTGTCCATGACAAAACCTACATACCATTTAATATTATTGAAATATAAGTGTTGTTTAGTAAAATCATCCATAACCAGATTCAATTGAATTCTAATAATAATATTAACTTATGCTATTTGTGTTGTGAAAATACCAATAGTAGTAAATATTTTATTTATCTTGTATGTATTGGTAGAATAAACCAATTATTGATATATTAATTTATAATAGCGCGAAAATAATATTATTTGTTCAAATAGGATGTAATTATATGAAAAAATGTAAACTTTTCATAAAAACCATAAATACAATCTTTGCAATAGAGAAAAAATAAAATGTAATATCCGTTAGTTGAAAACATTCTGATAAACGAATTTTTGAAATGAAAAAAATTCAATGTAATTCTTCTATGATGTACAAAAAAACATTTTCCAGGAATTCTATTTACTGTTCGAATTGATGTTTATTGTATACGTAGAAGTACATGGGTAGGTGATAGTCGGATTAAATGAGAATATTGAATGTTCTGTAAAATATAAGCGACTAGGAAACAATCATTCATATAAACTGTTCGCCCTTTTTTGATTTCCAAAAAAAAAAAAGATTTGTCAACAATTCGATTATTTTCTGTTTCCTGACAACAAGTAAAAAGTGGGGATCGTCTGGTCCCCCAGATCACAAAATTGCTTCTTTGAGTGTTGCTTGTGATTTCATTTCATTATTCATTTTCAACCCCTTCGCTTACCAATTACTTTTAATTGTCTGACCCCCACCCATTGCATACCCAACCCAACCAACCCTTCTATTCCATGCTATCCCCTTTAAATTAAAGCTTAATATACTCTTGCGTTTGTGTACTCTATAAACCATACGACATTATTATTCATATGTGTGTGCAATTGGACAGAATCATCACTACGGGATAACTAACATTAAGTCATGAGTTTTTATGAGATTAAATTTAAGTAATGCTAACTTGTTAAAAATATTTTGATAGCTTGCTAATTGAATTTATATTTAAAGTAAAAGTGTTACAAAAGTTTTGAAACACAGATATACAATGAACGAATTGTGTCAAATAAGAATATTAAATGATATTTAATGATTTTAAACATATTTTCATAAATTGGTCGTGAGTTTTTATTTTATAAGAAGATTGAGTAGAAAGACATATCAAAAAATAATTAGAAAGAATACATTATACAATCTAAGAAAAAAAATCTCATTACAGTGAAATCGTGGCTTTTTATTGCATTACTTAGTAAAATAATTACTTTAAGTGTTTTATTCATCTATATTGTGGTCTAGGTGTTAAAAAATTGAAAGTACGTCTTTGAAATGAATAGTTATCAAAAGTAAGTTCTAAATGAAAACAAAAATTAAATATAAGTTTGTTAAGATTCATATAAAATTAAATTACCCGAGTTAACACTTAAAAAATTATATTGATCGATTATGAAGTTTCAAAAAGAAAATAAAGTAAATTAATTAATGTTTAAATTAATATATGTACATGTATTTTATTTTATGTAAAATAACATAATAAAACTGAGTATTTTTTTTACAATATGTTTTTTTTCGCGTATTATAGCTTATGATACTGACTATATGGATATTTTTTTTATTTAAAAAGAAAAGGTTAATAAAGTATAGAATAAAAATATAATTCAGAAATTATATAAATTTTTTATTATTTTACCATGTAATTTTTATCAGATATTTTGAAGAGT